CCCCCCCCCCAGTAGCTGGCTATTCTTATAAGATAAAATGATATCCTCTTGTCCTCCTCCCTTTATCTTGGCCTATCAATGCTTTTAGATTCAGCTAAGAGATTCCAGTCAAATATGACTCATTTTAATTGCCTGTCTGCCTCTCCATAGATTGTCCTGGCATTTGGGAATTATTTGAACAGCAGCAAACGGGGAGCGGCTTATGGATTCCGGTTGCAGAGCCTTGATGCGGTAGGTGGGGAGAAGGCATAGAATCCTTAGGACCTGCTTCTAGAAGAAAACAAATAGTAGGGTGTTAACATGAAAGTTGGTTGTGGCCACAAATGAGGAACGAGCTAAGGCTGAGAGTAACGTGCATGACACAGAGCTCCAATTATGCATCAGCCACAGAGGAAAAATGCACACACTCACACACCACCCAATATGGGTCCTTGAGCATTTCAAACAGACTTTCATAATAGCAGTAGGTTGTGCTTTCCAGTAATCTTTCCCAAGCTACTATAGTATGAGTCATTCAGCATTTCCTTACCTTGGATTCCCTGATGATGTTCAAGTTATCAGGAGTGATAGTACTGTACTCCAAGGACATGTCTTCACAATGTCAGAGGTATGTTTATAAAATACATCACCCAAACCCACGGGAATTAAGAAGAGGTGGGAAGAAAATTGCTGCACCAGAAAGGGCAGGTGTTCTGTAATGCTTTGATATCTTAGTTTTTTCTTAACCTAATTGCTATTTTTCTCTGTAGCTTCTGGATATGAAATCAACAGACCGGAAACAGACACTACTTCATTATATAGTGCGGGTGATCCAAGAAAAATACCCTGAGTTCCTGAACTTTTCCAGTGAGCTGCATTTTCTGGACAAAGCAGGGGCAGGTATGGAGTAGCTGCCCGGAGTCCTATGGAATTGGGCGGCATATAAATTTATTAAAAGTTAAAGTTAAGTTAAAGTGGTAGATTATGGGCAAGAAGAGAACAGTGAGTGTCTTTCCTAGTGAAAAATAGAGTGTTGATTTTTCTCTTTGGATGGCTGTTAGGTAAGCTCCCTGTTGGGAGAAAGAGTACGTTCAGTGAAGTGTTGTAAGAGTTGTGTTGGAGAACACACAAACCAGCATACAGAGACACTGCAGTTTAAATAGGCTTTTACTTTCGTGGAAATAGAGGTATCAGAGTCCATCAAACAGTCCAAGTCATACACGGATAAGACAGTCAGTCATCAATGTCTTTCAGTTAAGAGATAATCCAAATAACATAGTCCAGTATCATATAATCAGTCTGGTACTCAAAGTTTGCTAACAGTTGCAAAACTTACAATAGCTCACAGCACTTCTAACAGCCAGCTTCCAAAACACTCAGATCAGATCAGCCCAGCATCTAACAAACAGAGAGCTAACAGTTGTTCTGGTTTCCTCTTATGGCTGATTGAGGAAAACAGCAACCAATCACATTTTACAGTATGATTTAAAGAAACAGGTACAACATTGTTACATGGTTTATATATTGCCAACCCAACCGTTAGATTATATTCCTAACAATGGCAATTAGGTAGAAGAGCATCTGCCCTATAAAAATAACGAATCTAAAAGTGAAAGTAAATGAGACGGAAGTAATCCAGACTGGCTGTTCTTGCTTCACCTCTCCATACTTTTTCTCTTTCCTTCCCATCTTTGTAGTGTCACTGGACAGTGTGCTTCAAGATGTGAGAAGCCTACAGCGGGGCATGGAGCTAACACGCAAAGAATTCATGCGCCAGGATGACAGTATCATACTCAAGGATTTCCTAAAGACAAACATAGAAATGATGGAAAAGCTTCAGGCAGACAGTAAAACTGCACAGGTAAGGAGAAAATTGTTCTGACCTAGGCTTCCCAAGCAGCTGGAAGCCGAATCCTCATCCCAATAAACCCCTTTTATTTAATTTATAGTGAATTCCTCTCCAGCAAAGTCTTTCCCACAGACTTTCAAGATAGTTCACAATTACTGATGTTTATCAGGTTTGGAGAGTGGCCAGGCTGATATCTTTCAGATGCCGCAATACTTGGCAAGAATGCAGGAATGAACTAATTGTCTCCTGCAAACACTCCTCTCCTTTTGCTTCTTTATTCCCTATGGGAGGGGCCATTCACGTCTACTCTGGCCTTACTCCCAAGTCGAACCTTGTTCCTTAGCTGTTCCCTTCATCTGGCAACTCTGTGCATGTGCACATTGTGTAACAGGCTTCAGCTGTTCATCTGCCTCACTGATGTCTGACTCTGAAGGCAGCTGATAACTGTCAGATGTGCCCTGGCCTCATCTCTGTCTCTGACACAGAGCACTCGTTAGAATCTTCCCCAGACTCCAGGACTGTCCCATGTACCTCCCCAACCTTTTCACTGTCCGAATCTGCTGTCAGGTCCACTTGCTGTTGGGGGAGGTCATAACAAAATAACCAGAAAGCTGCGGTGCCTCTTTATTTAAAAGAGGTATCACAGCAAGTGTCTATGGGCTTGGAAGAGAATTCATCCACAGGTTGGGAAAGCAGAACTGTTTTCTTTTTCCACAATCTATTTATGAACTCTCGTACCATAAATCATGTTTTAAATGGATGTTATACATACTTATACAGCCATAGATTTAAAATCCAAGCGATGTTGCCCTTTCTCTGTGCCTGGAGGCTATGAGGGTCTGGATGGGAGACAATAGGCTTCAACAGACACCAGGCATGATGCTTTGGGTGCAAGAGGATCTGATAGTTTATCAACTGGGTGGCTAGGAGAGCCTTTGTGCAACTTCGAGTTGTGCAGCAGTGAGGTCCTTACCTGGATTATGAGGCCCTGCCCACGGTCCATAGTCATTCATGCCCTGTCTCCTGACTAGATTACTGCAATGCATTCTATATTGAGCTATCCTTGAAGAGTATTCAAAAGCTGCAGTTAGTGTAAAATGTAATGGTGTGCAGTCCTGGGAGCTTCTAAGGCTCCACTTATAAGTGTGCAAGTTGCATTGGCTGCCAGTTTGCTTCCAGACCCAATTCAGGGTGTTGGTTGTTACCTTTAATGCCCTACATGGCATGGTCCAAGATATCTGAGGAGCTGTCTCTCCCTAATGGGACAAGCCTGCCTCTTTGTGCCAGCAAAAGAGGCCTGCTACATATCCTGTCTGCTAAGAAATTGAAGCAGGCAGTATCAAGGGGAAAAGCCTTTTCCACTGTTTTCCTATCCCTGTGAAACATTTTTTCATTGGAGGTCAGAACTCCCCTTCCTTTTCATCTTCTGGAAGAGCATCAAGGCCTGGCTTTGCGGTTGCCCTGGAGCCTTGAGAAGGATGCTCCTCACTGGAAGTTGCTGACAGGATAAGAAGATCTCATCCTTGTCCTGTGTGCTCTTGGCTCTTGTAGGCATGGTTTTAGTGCAGTTTTTAATAATATTTTAATATTGGTTTGTTTTAATCTTTTAGCTCTTTTCACTTGTTTCTATAATTTTAAGCCATCTAGAATCACCTTGTAGGGGGGATGGGAAGCATAGAAAGGTAATGATAGATCGATAGAGATAATAAAGAGTTTTTGATTGACAGAATGGCTCTTATAACCATCAGTTATTGTTTTTACTTGCTCCATAGGAGGCATACGAGTCAACAGTGGAATACTTTGGGGAGAATCCCAAGACTACTCCTCCAACTATGTTCTTCCCTACATTTGTACGCTTTATTAAAGCATACCAGGTAAAAAAAAACTGTTTCCAATACATTGTAGCCTAATGTTTTAGCCTAATGACCCAAGGAGACTATTTGGGTTCATCTCTCGTCTGAATCATGGATTCTCAAGATGGCTGCTCTCTTCTGTTTTCATGTGTCACTTTTGCAATATGAAGATTATCAAAGTAGTTTCCTCTACTGAAGTTTTGTAAAGCTTGGTCAGAAGATAGATATAAGGAACCTTGAATTATTGAAATATACGAAATCAGTTTTTCTTTAACCTAAAACCCCATTGGTCACCTGGGCTGAGAGTGATGAAATACACAATTCCATTATACCTGGAGGGTATCGCAATGGAGAGGGCTGCACTAAATCTATGTAAAGCTGAGACAATAATTGTGGTGTAGAAATTAATTAAATAATTATGAAAATTGTTCAGTCTCAGTTGATCTATTCGGGGGTGAGGGGAGGTTGACTGAGTCCATCAGTTCTCTTCCAAATTGTTTAGTTGACTGCAACTATTAAGCTATTTCCATCATGGAAATTCTCCCATTTTCATGTCTCATTTTGAAATACCATTCTGTAGATAGCATTTGCTGCTAATTTCTATTGTTTTCATGACAATTATTATTGCAGGGATAAAAAACAACCTTGTGGAAAAGGACTACTGATGATATTGACAAAAAAATTGCATGAATGTAATTGTAGTTCATAAGCAAGGGTGTTAAAATAGTTTCTTCCAATAATATCAGCTCATTCTTATATCTTAATTCCTTCTAATATGAAAAAAGAAACTTATTAAAAACTGTTTTTTCTTTCACCTGACGTAAAGTACGGGTGTATTCTTTTTAAATTGTAGCTTAGGCTTGTTGGGATTGATTAATGCCACCCTTACCATTTTGATTTTTCGTTTTTGTGGCTTTCATGTAATTTATATATATGCATTTCCACACAGTGAACAGTGAGAAGAATTACAATAATATTGATGGCCAAATGTGAGGGAACACTATACCAGTTGGAAGAAATAGAAAAGAATAATGTATCACTTTATTTGTGCTTCTAAGAAGGTGCAGTTTCTTGAAAAACGGGGATAAGAGAATGTATGCTGTGAGCTTAAAAGCTCATTCCTATAGTACATGGGTTATTTAAAAGAAAGAAAAGCAGAGCTTGCAAAGGAGAAATGGGCCATAATCTGTGTTGAGGAGAAAACATCTTATTGTATAATAAATCAGTGTTTCTCAGCCATGGCAATTTAAAGGTGTGTGAACTTCACTGCTCAGAATGCCTCATCAGCAAAGTTACTAAGGTTGAAAAACAGTGATCTAGTTGAGATATACATGTTTGCTTAATGGGATTATTGCTTTTCTCTCATTCCACTAATATAAAGAAAGCAGAGGAAGATATAAAAGTGTGGAAGAAGCAAGAAGCAGCTGCCAAAGAAGAGGAGCAAGTTTCCCCCGGCAAAGGGGAACAGGCAGTACCCAAGGTATGTGTTAAGATTTTCTTATCTTTTCCTCCTGTTCCAAAATCTACAGCATCTCCTACTCCATAAGTGGACTTACTTCCCATACGGCACTGTTGGGTGAGCTGGCTTTACAGACACCTTCGGTTTCATCATGATACATGGGTAACCATAGCAACGGTTTCTCTTCCTTAGCAATCTCCCACCCATAAGGCCAAGCGACAACAGATGGACCTCATAACTGAGCTGAAGAAAAAGCAGATGGTGAAAGAGCCTCTCATTTATGAAGAAAAAGATGGTGCCATTGAAGACATTATTTCAGGTGAGAAGGGAAATTGGCAGCTTGAACAAAAAATTCTGAAGTCTCTGCAGATCCATCCTAGAAGCCCAAAGATTAAAGTGAGAACTGCTCAGAATCCTATTGACAGGGAAAAGTGATCTTAGTGACCTACAAATAATTTGCCCTGAATTACTGTTTTTCTTTAGATACCTGGTTCTAGGTGGGAAAGCAAATGTCTAGCAATATTTTTCATTGCATGGATACTGTTGATGATCTTCCTTCATATCTCTGTGTAGCAAGAAGCTGGCATGTGGTTTTTAGTTCTTTGGCTCCCTGTCACATTCGTTGAGAAGGTATCATTATGTAGCACATTTCTAAGGTCCATTGAAGCTGCACATTTAATTTTCCTTATTGCAGATGTGAACTGTTATTTTTTCTTACAGTTATATTCTGCTTATTTTTTTCCCCCGGGGGTAATATGCTTAAAGCACTATCAAAACATTAAACTTTTTAAACCCATCAATAGAAATAGAAAGTACAATTCAGGAAATTATATATAAATGTACAAATAATAATCACCATGAGGAAGATGAGTTTAGATTTAGATATACAACTGGATTGATGAAGGCAAATTTCCCCTCCCAGCACTGAAAAATACTATAGTGTGCAGGGGATTGAAACTTTGTAGAAGAAAACAAGTTGTAGTATAGTGAAAATGGGGAACTTCTGAAAGCCAAAGGAGATTAAAACGTATGAGCAGAGCTCTGATCATGGAAGATACCTTTGCTTCTGGTTCTCCCCCCCCCCCTCCTTCCCCTCAGTTCCCTGTGTCTTCCATGATACTCCATGTAGCCTTTTCAGAAACTTTCTGTGGGGGGGGGGAAATAATAAGTATCTCTATTTCTGTAACCCTAAATTTGGATCCAAACCAGTCTGTTTAAATCTTCCCTGGCAAATTTTGTACAGATTGGTAGAATTTAGCAGTACATGGGCACATGATCTTGAAGCTCTGTGGGACTTTAAAAGGATACTAGCTTTCTGAAACTAGCTGTTCGTTTACTTCTGACTTTTTGACTTGCTTCCCTTTTGCCCTTCTTAAGCCTTATCACTTGTTTTGGAAGTCATGTTCATTTGCTTTTACTAATCCCTGCAAGATACCACACTGAATTTAGACATACCCATATCTTTCTCTGCCCTGGATTCTCAAAGAATACATCCATCTCACAAGCAGGGAATTTGGGGATGAATATTGTATCATGGCCTCAGCATCTAACCAACTGTGCTAATTTCAGAAACTGAGGAGCTCAGTCTTAGTTAATTAGTTAGTTAGTTAATTATTTGGTTTCTATTCCACCTCGTTCAGGAACTCAGGATGGTATCCATAATCCTCCTGCCTCCTATTTTTTTACACAGCAATGATCTGTTAGTATTGGATGGGGAGCACCTGATAACAGGAGATTGTTGCTAAACTGAGAAACGTGGAAGGAGGGGAAAAATGGGTAATCACTTAGATATTATTGCCAAGTAAACTGCACTGACTAAGCCAATAGCTCACTCAAGGGCATCTTGACCTTGAATCTGACCTGGGGAGTTGAATCTGACCTGGGGAGTTGAATCTGACCTGGGGAGTTAAATCTGACCTGGGGAGTTAAATCTGACCTGGGAGTTGCAGTGTGGGGAGTGGGAACTCGACTGCTCTGGAGAGTCTCTAAGGGAGAGCAGGTAGCCTATTCCCTAGATAACTTTTTTAGTAAGTACAGTAATGCAGCTGCACTATCAAGGTATATTTCTTTGAACAATCCATTCTTTCACTTGCCTACTGCTTTTCCTTTCTCTTTTCCTTTCTTTGATTCCTTTCTTTCTTCCCTGAACTGTCCCTTTTTAGCTTTGAAAACTATTCCTTTTACTGCTCGGACGGGAAAACGCTCATCTCGCCTCTTCTGCGATGCCAGCTTCAATGAAGAAAGCCCACTGTAGCTTGTGGCTTTAGGTAACATTGGTCAGCAGCAGAATTTATTTGGGGGAAGGAACATGGCAGTTAGCAATCAGCATGGCATATTAACTCTTTCCAACAGCGAGAAGATTCTTTGAATGTATTTGGAGTGCTTATCCTCATTGAGTCTGGCAGAATGGACCACAAGACCCTCTTTTTATCCTCAAATTCCCCTCCAACAGGAAAATTAGACTCTATGAGCATCGTGACTGGAGATTTAATCTTGTCTCCCCATTATATCCATCTTGCTTATAAGTAGATAAATATTTATATATTTTCCAATTAAAGAGCAAAGGATAAATACTTTTATGATGCATGCTTATTTTTAATATTTACTGGAATTTTAGTGTCTGATGCAAAGATTTAGTTTTCTTGGCAACTGCCAAGTTTTAGATACTCTTAACAAAAGTCTTTCTCAAGGCTGGAATCCTAATTTTTCCCCCAAAACATAATGAATACTAAGAAGCAGGTAAAAATTTCTTCCCTATGTATTAAAATGTTCTGCATTATAAAAATATTACTGGGTAGAGAATATGTACCTTCAAAAGTCATAATTGAGTTTTGTTTTATTTTGTGGCAGGTCTACGTATCCAGCCATACCGGCGGGGGGACACTGGTCGGCACAGTGGCAAAAAACGAACCACTGGGCAGATTCTCCAGGCAACCTCCGAGATCTCACTGTGACAGATTTGAATGAGAACAAGCTAAATAAGCCTTGGTTTGCTGGGTGAAACAAGGACTCAGACCAAGAGGCCTGGACCAAAGACTTTTCCCTCCAAGGAATAAAGGGACTCAGGCCAGGATGACTGTCCTCTCCTCTCCCCACATACACACTTAATTATAACCTTTGCACATGTAAATCTTGCTGGCTATGTTGCCCGCTGGATCAACAATATTTCTTCATCTAATAAGCAACTAATATCTTGGCCACATTTGACTGACCTACCATGGCAGCAGTGGGCAGGATGGGGAGGCTCAAGTCTCTAATAATAGGGACAGCCAATGGTGCTACAAACCTCCACCACCAAATCAATAAGAAACATCTTCCACCTCCAAAAATCTTTGTGGCGACTGCTGCTTCTAAAGAAGAAGAAAGCAATTTGATCCAGATCCTTTCTCCCTGCTTTCTTTTCTATCCAACCTATTCTGGTTTCCTTATCTAGGGCATTCGTTCTATTTTAGTTTTTCAATTCCGCTTCTATCCTAGAGACAAGGTGGGAGAGGATTGTCTGTTTTCTTTCAAGTGTCACAAAAATTATGTTAGTCTAAGTACTGATGTACTTGTAGGATGATTACTTCCTGGGAAGGTGTAACCTCAGGATCATTTAAGCCATTATAACATAGCAAAACAGGGCTAATTAATTAGTAAATCCAAGCTGTTTGTAAGTGGAGCAAACACCCTGTATACAATAGCATCCTGCCCCAGCATTTTTTTATTTTTTATTTGCAAAGGTGCTGCATTAATTTCATCACTTTAGAATCGAAATCATATCCAGCATTTCAGCTTTCTGATGTAGAATGATTTGGCTTCAGTGGCCTGTAGCCTTTTCTTTTGCAAAATTTCATGATTGATTCTGGGCACATAATCCTGTTGCTTCCTTAGAATTATGAATAATTTTTTGCCCTCTTTATACATTTCCATACAGTCCAGATCTGCCCCTTATTGTGATCTATATTCAACTACATGTCAACTGTAACTGCATGATCATAGTTGCATCCAATGTAATTAGAAACCCATTGAAAACAATGTTGCTCTTCTCCCTCTCTAGCAAAGTTCCCCATGATTATATATTCTTCTTGAATATTTAAAGAATTCAGCATCCTTTTCTATCATAACAATCAGTCTAGGGAGTTAATCTGATCAGTTGAACAGCATCTCAGGATTTAGCAAAAGTTTGGCACTTTCAAAAACTACTCATTTGAGTATTGGTGACAATCACACTGGCTATGGGAATTGCTGTTCTTTTCCTTGCCACATGGTGTCATTCTTCTGTGGGCTGAACAATTTTTTCTTCCGGGTTGCTGGCAGTATGTGTTATGTATGAAATATAATACATTATCTCCCCACCTCCATTCTTCAGATGTATACTCTTAAGAGCTTTCTAAGAGACAGAAAAATATAGAGTGGAGGTGACAGTAATTAGATAACTCAGGAAATCTTTAATAAAGATTTCATCATTGCAATGCATAGTTATAATTCTATACTGAGATTTACACACTGTTAGTTCACCTGAAGGATACCACATCCTAATCCAAATGCATGTTTCCCTACTTGCTGAAAACCTGGGGAATAGGGTTAACTTGTGAAAAATGCTCCCACCCCCCCTTTTTTCTCCTTTTCTTTCTTTCTTTTTTCTTTTTTGTAGTTCCACTGCACATGAAACAATACATCTTACTCCCTCTCCCAAATCAAGCCAGATTTTAATGGTTCCTAGCTTTTCTTTCATTTGCCGAGGGAGAACAATTATTATATCTCCTAAAATATGTAGAGGGGAAGAGCAATGTGTTTATGCCCCTCTTTTTGGGTGGGTGGGTATGCAGGAGGCGTGGGTTACAGTACCATCATTTTGTATAATCTGGCTCCATATGGAGCACTTTATGCCTGCAGGGACACACTTATGCAGAGTTGCACTTTTGCTTTCCCTCTCAAATTCCAGCATGCAAGCTTCACAGCAATAACTACCTATTTCAGGAGAGATTAGATATGCATGGACAAATTTGTTCAGTCTCAACTTGGATGAAACAAAATCCTCAACTGCCTTTAGCAATACTATGGCCAGGTCCCTACTGTCCATCCCAAACTTGCTGTAACTAGATATGCTTAGAAGCCCAGTTTTAGGCTACCATTGCTTTTCCCATAATTTAAGAAAAACTAAAATTATCACAGCAAATGCTCAGAATAGCACAATTCTTTATGCCATGTCTGGGAGCAAGGGGAATGGTGTGGGGAGGGAGGGTTAATAAAACAACTGAATGTGGAACTTAATTTTCTTAAAATGCCTTGAATTCTGTAGATGAGCTACAACGCTCTACATGACTTGTTACTTTGTATACATTATTTTTATATATGGTGTGTGAATTGCATTTAATCCAAAGCAAGTTAACAAATGAGAGAATATAATACATGTATTGTAACTATGAAAATTATGTTCTTACTGTTTGGGAAGTACACTGGGCTGGATTCTTAAGACAGGAAATATTCAAAAAAGTTTGCAAAAAATCTGTCAAAGAGGAGCCAATACAATTTGCAATATCAAAATGTCTAGAGATTCATCCTATGATCATAAACACATGGCAGCTCAGAATTCTGTTCAAGATGTAGTGTTCAAGCGAAAGTGTTTAGAGACTACACAACGTGGTAAAACTTACTTGCCCTACAAAATCATCTTTGTCTGGTTTTTAAATAATGACTCTTCATAGTTTTCTCAAGCTTCATGCCCTCCAGATGATATGGTTGAGAAAAACTATTCCAGTGAATAGTAATAACAAGTACCTATTTTACCACTAACAGCAAAACCTGCCGCCTTATTCATTGTCACCTAGACTTCACAGGCTATTTATCCTCCTCCTCCCTTCCAAAAAGAATAAAACCATCAGTTTAGGTGACATATAAAAGATGTTGCAACTTAATTCAAATTCAGGTGGCTATATCCATGCGCTTTTTCTCAGCAGATGTAGTTTGCCTTTCAGAATGTGTTTTCAACGTCCCAGTTCAGCCAAGGAATTAGAAACATTTTTGTACCGCAAGCATATCTGTTGTTAACCCATGATAGATTCAGAACGATTTCCCTCTGAGTACTACACGTTGCATAGATAAATTGATCATTTTCAGAAATCAAATGTTTGAGAGACTAACCTTTACAGTGATACTACAGTTGTTTATATAACTAGTAGACTCTAATCCCTGACTCTACTATTGATTAAAATCTGTACAGTACTCTAAATTTTCAGATCAGGCTTCTACCACACTAAGCCTTTAATTGAACATGAAGATCCCACCATTTTATTTGATTTGTAAACCCATATTTATTCGAGACTTAAGGTGACTTTCATGGGGCTCCATTTTATCCCAACAGCCACCCTGGGCTGTGCTGACAACAAATGGCTGACCTAAAGATGCCTCTTAAGTATCCTTAGTAAGTATTCAAGTGACCATGGATGAACTTGGAACTTTATTGAAGACCAGTCATGCCCACAATAGTTTAAAGCCCTTCCTGTTGTATGATTTGAATCAAAGATTGAAACTTGCAATGTTATCTAGAACCGAAAGGGTGACTATTTTGGTTTTACAAAATTCAGCCTTGCACTTTATGACAAGGCCAAGTTGCTAAGCTTCAATGATCATTGTTTTGGATCCAGACAACAAAATAGACCTTGAATTGGATAAAATGCAACATGGAGGGGAATTAAAAAATACGACGACTTTGAGTTGAGATTTTAAGTTGCACATGGGTAAAGATAGTCTTTCTAGTGTTGTTTTGGCAAAAGAAAGGGTACTTGTCAAACTCATTCACACAAAGCCAAATCTTGCAGCAGCCCTCCTGATAATGGCTCTTCCCTAGCTTTTCCCATAATTGGCAAGAATTTTATTCTCAAATGTTTACAAATTACAAATCATTTGTAAGTGGTATGAATTACAATTTAAGATGTGGGAAATGAAATATTTCTTCAAAAGGCAAACACTTATCAATGTTGGGCATTAATTTCTTTATGAAGCAATCCCTACTATAAAGGACAGCAGACAGCCCAGAACATTAACATGAGTTAGTTTATGATCTTCCCACAGAAATCACTGTGGGAGACAGTATGCTGGCTTTGGTATGTGATGAGACCGCCACATCTGCACTAAAATCACAGAGGTTGTATATACCTGTTGCAAATTCATAAACTGCACTTAGTCATTAGTAAGTAACCACAACATTTTTAGATATTCACCCATCCTTAGTCAAAGTTCTACAGAAAAGAGAAACAGTAGAAAAACATCTAGCTAAATAAAGACACTACCAAAATATGAGCTAAAGGCACAGTGATTTAATTTCCTTGATTGAAAAAAGGTACATTTAGCTTTCATTAGGGTTACAACTTCATTGAGTTAAAAATAACATCAGACATTCTTAATTTTCACAGAATCACAGACAATATATATTGTGCTTGTATAAAATGATCCATAATTAATAAAATTTACTTTTCTGGATTGAAAAATCACACTGAACCATAAACTAAACACAGCACAAGTCTTCAGAACACACCAGACTAAATATCACTGGCAAGTTTTTGGTTCAGTGCGCCATATGAATGTAATCAGTGATTTTCATTTAAAATATATTTCTATGTTCTTACTTTCCCCTTCCATTAAAAATATTTTTTAAATTGAAAACAACAAAATGAACACTTTTAATTGAAGTATTAAGAACACAGTTTGGAAGGATCTTTAGGCCACTCTGGTTACTACCCTGGTTTTGGCAAAAGCAACTCCAATTTAAAGAGCTGTTTCAAATAATTCTTTCATTCTGTTCATTTTAAAAAGCTTTTTGGCATTTCTGAAGCTGAACTAGAGGAAAAAGTATTTAAGATAACAGGCTGTAAGACTGAGGCTTTCTAGCGTTCCATCTCTCGGCTTTTTCAAAACCAAGATAATTTTAACATTGAAAAAATAGACAAACTTCTAAGCTTATTTTTGCAAGCAAATTAGTTATTTAACAGTTTAAACACTGGAAGCAAGGAAGTTAATAAATTCTCCACACAGAAAGCTCACACAGAAAGTTAATATTTTAGCATAAATTCTCTAGAGTTAAAAAAAAATGGTTTGGTTCATATAGTGCTCCTAAACACTATGGCCAAATGATTTTCACCATTTGTTCAATATGCCATTGTGGCTTGACTTGATGCTACAGAGTTGATTTATATATCACAGTAAAAAAAAACATACACATGCAGAGACATAATATGATCTATGAGCACGCTATCATTAAGTCATCACAATGCAAATCTGACAAAAAACTTCCTTATACCAAAAAACAAAACAAATAGAGAAAATATACATGAAGTAAATTAATGAAGAAGAAAAAATATTGTGCTTTTCTGTATATTAGATCCCCATTTCTTGATTTAGGGTCTGCTACTTCATTCGCAGGAATCAATATGCTGTAAGTAGATTGAAGTTTTAAGAACTGACAGTTGGATTACAGCCACAAATACTTTAGATATCACGATAAACTTTCAGATTTTTCTGTGAGAGTAGTTTACTCCCCTATTGCATTTAGATACATCATACTGCTACATTTTTTTTCTTTTGATTGGATAAATCAGCCATTCTTGCAAATTAAGAAAAGTGCTTGAAAAAGTCAAGATTTCCACAAATGATGTTTTTAGGAACACTTAGGAGAATTTCATTGGTAACTAGGAGCCATTTCCACAAACAGAATGGATAAGCTCAAGTTGTACTATCTATAGAGGGCAATTTATTTATTTTTAAAAAATATTATCTACAGTTAGGAATAGATTGACAGCTGTGATTGGCTCTGCAGCCAATTTCTCCTCTATAATTTTTAAAAATCATTCCTTGAATTCCAACTTGAAACTAGGTATGACAGCGAAAAATAGAGTTTACTCATCTATCTAGATATATTAGAACAATTAAACTCTTTCCTAATGCCAAGCGAGTGAGGGACAGATCCGCCGTGGTTTCCCTTTCAGGATCCTTTTGGAGCCGTGCCTGGAGGCTTTGGGGGTGAGCCTGTGGAAAATCTCTCTCTGATGGGAAAAGACCACTCACTTCTGGAGAAAAATGGAGCAGCCAGAGATGCTGGAGAAAATCAGTTCAAGGTCTGCAGTAAAACTGGAGGCTCTTCTGTTTTCAGACAACTACACTGCTCAGCATGCCCTCCAGCTAGCTCAGCTGTCAAAGGAGCTTAGAGAACTCAACCAAGCCCTTGCTCTGAAGGAGGCCCTGGTTCAGAATCTGGCTCTGTCACAAAAAATGCTCCAACATCATTGCCAAGACAAATATATTGTCAAGAAACCTACCCAGGTGACCCTAAGAAAATGCTTTATTTGAGCCTCCTGCAGCCAAACCGAAAAGAAAGTCAGATTTGTTAACTGATGATTCCACGGCATTTCTCCAAATCAGCTGGTTCAGATTGGATAAAAGCACCCAGGTCCCTGAAGGAAAAATGGAGCAGGATGCCTTGGAAGTTCCCAAGAGCAGCACCTCAATTCTTTCCTGCTGCTTGCACCCACAATGCTGCTGCCCGCAATGAACTAATGTCAAATATGTTTCTTATGCTCATTCTTATTCTTTATAATACAGTGTTGCATTTTTTTAAAAAAACCCTCTTTCTTGTACATGAACTGTACCAGCTACTAAGAGAGTACAATACAGAATGATTTTACAGATTGCAGTCCCAAACAACAGTACTTATACATTTTAGTTTTCAATAACAAAATAAGAGGCTGTTTGCTCTTTCCAACAAACACGATCCTGAGGAGATATTTTAACCAGAGTCTCCCAATATTTGTGGCAATTTTGTAAATCATGAAACTCCACAAGTTCATTAGGTTACTGAATTGCAAGAGCAATGATTCCAATTCTGAATAGCATTTAATTTTGTGCATAATTAAATAGGGACCACAATATGAACTTCAGACAATTGAAATTACATACAATCATAAACACATAGTGGCCTATTTCAGCATTCTGTTGTACCACCTGGAAAGATATTGCCTCTTAGAGCACAACTATGATCAAATTAGCAGGATATTCAAGCAAGATTTCAAATGCAGCAGTACAACTTCTAATAGATCAGACTATAAAAGCCTCTTGCCAATTAAGAAAAAATCGATTATTAAGGCACAACTTCAAGCTTCTAGAAAATAATCTACTTGCTTAGAATTGCAGTAGATTTAGAAGCAGCAACAGACAAATTTTATTATCCAATAGTGAAGTCAAGTTAGAAATGAAGACATTTAACTCTGATGTGAAATGAAACTTTTAAAAGGAAAAATATTATAGAGTTTAGAGTTGCTCTATGGCCATTTTTTTGTAATTTACACATTCACTCCAGCTGCCTAAGAATTACATTTGAAAAGATGGATTGAAAGATGTTGCCCTCCAGAATGGCTGGTTACCTTGGTACAGAAGTAGGCATATTTGGGAGAGGAAGTAGAAAACCTTGAAAATTTAGTTGGAATTTAGGCAACTAAATTCAGGCTGGTCTATTGCCCTCAAATACAAATGTTACTTTTTTTTTGAGAGAAAGGAATACAATCAGACACGTTTTAAAATCCTCCCCCTCCCTTCCAATTTTGTCAATTGGATTTATCTTTTTTATATCATTTCAAAGTTTAACCAAAAACAATTATGAGTGAACACATTCCAGATGTAGCTCCAAACATGCCAGATGAGGTTTTGTGAATGAGGTTTTGTGAAAGGATATACCAGGGGTGTCAAGGATATACCAGGGATCTCAAACTCGATTTCATTGAGGGCCACATCAGGGTTGTGTTTAACATCAGGGGGCTGGGGAGGGCATGATCAGCTCAACATCACTCGTATTGGGGGCGCCTGTGGAGGCCCGAACATTCTGTCTGCAAAAATTGGCTCCTGAGTTCCGTTTTCGTCTGCAACAGCCTTTTGCAACCCTCTGCTAGCGAAAACAGAGCTTGGGAGGGCCACACACAGCCCTCCTAAGCTCAGTTTTTGTCTGCAGAGGCACTGTGGGCTGTTCCTTTGCTGTGGGCAAGATCTAAACACCCCGTGGGCCAGATCCGGTACGTGGGCCTTGAGTTTGACACCCCTGCTATATACCATATATTTTATTCCTTTTACACCCTAGTCCAATGATATTCATTTACACGACCAGAGTTCTTCACACAAACCTATCAAAATTAATAAAATCAATATGGTCAACTAAAAATAAGACTATAAGGATTTGCCTAAACTATCTCAAGTTTAGATTTTTGCTTCAAATTATCTTTGACATAGGTGGAATCTACTGAGCAATGAAGTCTTGGTGCATTCAAAAGGGCTTCTTCTATATCATAAACAGTAATAGATTGATGTGGTTCTCTCTGATTTAGAATTACAAAAAAATAAAAATTAATGCTCTCCTGAAAAGTATGATTTATTTAATATTAAAAAGCTATTTGTATTATATTGTAGTTAAAAGTTTCCCTGATAAGAATTTAATTTTAATTCTGTAAAACAGGTGTGTGCAAACTTTTTGCTTTCCTGGGCCACACAGAATGGAAAAGAATTGTCTTGGACCGCAAGTAAAATATATAGTATAGTTAATGTATCTAAATAACAAACTTCCTTTTATATATTGAACATGCCTGCTGTAAATTGTGCAGGGAGAAAATGAAATAACATATAGTAAAAGAGTTTCTATATGAATGATGAAGTTACTGCTTCTGCAGAGATATTGGTTATGCACTCATTACACACTGCCTGTTATATTGGAGGTCATATATTCCTCCAAAGAATTCAAAAGCAATATTCAATGCTCAAACTGAAAAAAGGCAGGTTAAAAGATGACACCCCCCCGCAAGCACTATTGGGATAGTAGTGAGATTAAGGAAGATTTATCTGCCTAAACTACAGCAACCTATGTTTCCAAGCTTCTGAGGTTGATTTTGTTAAATGCAGTCCAATCATTCAATTCTGCATAGACGTTCATCCCACACCACCATCTGTAGGCACTGGATGTGGCAAAGAAGCAGACAAGGAACCTATAATCTACTTTGGCAGCCAGCTGTCACCAATGAATTCCTACATTGACTTTTCTGCAGAGTCAGATTTGCTTCAATATAAGAAGTGAGGAGGAAAAAGACCTTACAGCCGCTTTTCTAACTGACCATGTTTGACCCTCCACTTCCAGCCAGAACTACAATCAGGAGCCAAAGTGCACTGAAGTTCAATGCCTGAATCAGGGACAGTCATATCACAATGAACAGGATCGCCTTCTTTTGAGAAGAAGCTGAATGCAGGGGCTGGTATCTAAGAAAACAAAAATAAAAAATAAAAAGCAGGTAAACAAAATCCACTCTACTATAGGTACATATTACTAGCAATCCTAATTAATGCCTGTATAAATCTGCCAAATCCTTCTGTGAACCCATCAGATTTGTGTTTAGTGACCCATGGCACACCTCTGGACAATTACAAATCTTGGCCTGGGATGAATGTAAGGATGGAATAAATCATGTACTATGTTTAAATAATAGTAGTAAACAGTGAAAATATGAATAAAGTAGCATTTTAAATCTTTCAGAGGTATCCAGTCCCTCCCCAAACTAGGCTAATTTCCCCAATTGGGGGAGCACTATGGCATCCCAAATCCTCAGATTGGACTGGAAACTGTAGCCACACCCACTTCAACAATATCTAAGAGATAAAAATTATCACTGTACATCCTCTGCTATAAAAGAGTTGCTTTGCAAAATTTATATTTCCTTCACCGAAAACTCTATTTTAATACATAGCCAAAAAAGACCGGCTCTTCTGTGCAATATCTACCTGGCTGCTGATTCCAGTGGCAACATCTCCCACCTTAGTTCCATGGAATTCTCTGATATGGAGGCTTTCCCCACTAAGCAAGCAGATCTCAATTTTCACCCCTGGTAGAAAATAAAAAAGAAGAGAGAAAAGAACTTTTTGTTCCAATTTTATTCCAAAGAGCCTTATTCTGTAGAGCAGTGGTAGTCAACCTGCTCCCTACTGCCCACTAGTGGGCGTTCCAGCTTTCATGGTGGGCGGTAGGGGCTTGCTGTAACTCTGCTTTATAAATTTTGTAAAGTAAAGTTACTTCCCTACTTTAATAATCACCACTACTGTGGAACCGGTGGGTGGTTAGAAAATTTTACTACTAACAGAGATACAAAAGTGGGCGGTAGGTATAAAAAGGTTGACTACCCCTGCTGCAGAGATTAATAGCTCTCAATTTTTCTTCCACCCATCCTTGGACTAAAATGCCTATCAAATATAAGACGTTCTCAACCCGGAGAATACTAGTGTAAAAATAGATTAGGCCAGTATTCCCAACACTGGTGGCTTTAAGATATGTGGATTTCAAATCACAGCATGATGGCTGGGAAACTTGAACTCCAAACATGTTTAAAGTTGGTAAGATTGAGAAATATGGATTTAGATTATGATTCTCCAACATTTTGGCTTCTTTGAGCTGTACTTAAGTGAAGAGGAATTTTTAGGTCACACATTAAATATATAATATAGTTATTATATATAAATAACAAACTTCTTTAATCCTCCCAAATACAGCCTGCTTAATAATTGTGCACAGAGTGTAATGTAGCATACACTTAACCAGATTAATCTTTGAAAGCTCATGTCACACTTAAGTTGCTTTCCAAACAGCCAGAGTCTTCACCATTTAACTTTATCAAATAAACATTTTCCAGATTGTTACTAGAAAAATGTAGTAAACAATGGGAAAGAATAATTATCTTCCAGGCTGCTATCCTGTTGTTCTAGCTCATGTCCATAATTCAAGTACCGTATTTTTCAGACAATAAGACGCACCATGATTTTGAAGAGGTAATTAAAAAAAAAAAGGTTCTGCATTCTGCAGGTCTTCCAAACCCTCTGCATGCCTTGTTTTTTGCAAAAAAAAAAAAAAAGGAGGGGGAGATGCAGAGCTTTAGGAGGCTTGTAGAGTGCTCCTGCGGGCTGGGGGGGGGGGCAAAACGAGCAAAAACCAGGTCACTTTTTGAAAAAAAAGGGGGGGTGCATACAGAGCTTTGGGAGGCTTGTAGAGTGCTCCTGGGTGATGGGGGTGAGGCAAAAACAAGCAAAAAACAGGCCGTTTTTCACACACACACAAAAAGGGCATGCAGAGCTTTGGGAGGCTTGTAGAGTGCTTCTGGGGGCTGGGGCAAAAATGAGGAAAAATTGCCCATTTTTTGCTCAATTTTACCCTCCCCAGACCTCAGGAGTACTTTTCAAGCCTCCCAAACCCTCTCCATGTCCATTTTTGCAAAGGGGCTGGGGTTTCAGGCGGCCAAAAATGCTGTATTCAGTGTATAAAACATACCCAGATTTTCACCCTCTTTTTTGGGGGGGGAAAGGTGCGTCTTATACTCCAAAAAATACAATAGTAACTAATTTTGATTTTTAAAAAAATCATATCTGACAAATACCATCAAAAATAATTTGTGGCTATCATCCTATAACCATGTCTTACCATTAACATAAGTGGGCATATCTGTATTCCTGCTGCGATTCAGCCAGCTGTTCCAGCTGTTGCTCTGGCCATCTGCTTGACTGTTCCAGGAATGTACACCTGAACTCATGGTGTCCTTCAGACTGTGGGACATTTTCAATGAACCCTAAAGAATCAAAAAGGAGGAGCAACTCCATTTTGGGGGGGGCTTGGATGCCAGATGTATCTTTTTGTTACATTCCTTTTTGCATTCCTTTCTGTATTCCCCCCTCCTTTGCTGGAGCTCCAAACGCGCATACACACACATTCTCAAGAAATGCTAGACAATATAAATCTCTACATGGGCTTGTATTTGACACCTGGTATATGGAGAAAAAAAATAAATGTGAATACTTTCAAGCATGAGAAGTAAGAAATGTATTTTGCATGCTAACGTTGCTAAAGAAAAACTATCTGTGAAAGACATAGAAACAAGAAGAGAGAAGAAGACAATTTTATTTCAGTATGTATGTGTATTCAGTATGCATATGCATGTGTTTTGGAATGGAATGGAATGTCTAACCAACCGTTCATAAAGTTTATCATTTGTCCAAGTGCCATGCCTCACTACTGAAACATTCTAAATGGGAAAGATGCACCAGCCAATTTTTGCATAGGCAGAGAAGGTGGACATACAGAGAATAGCTCAGCTTGTTTGTAAGATTCTGGGGTAAGAAGTTCAAAGATTCAGAGGTGATGTGATATGAAAGAAAAATGTGAACATTCCTTAGGAATATCTATAACCTTTTATTATAGGATACTTTTATTACATTTAGCTATATTTAGATTCCACTTATTATGGCAAATCTTCACATTTTGGCTGAGAGTAACTGGCCAAAATCAATCTAGTTGATTCCACAGTTGAGTGAGGGTTTGAACCCGATCTCCCTGTGTCCAGTCCAACAACATAAACACTACACTGTACTGATGCAATTCAATTGCAGTGAGCAGTTTTTGTAGTTTTCGAGAAAAGCACAAAGCCCTAGGAATGATCTGCAGCGAATGGGAAAGAGACTGGAAAAAAATGCTGAAGTTTATGATTATTTATTCAATGCTCATTTGAAGTTACAACACTACTGAAAAAAATGGTCTTATGACTGTTCCCTGAAGTTATGTTCATTGCAGTATCCCATGGTCATGTGATCAGAATCTGGATTCTTGGCAGTCTGCCCACACTTATAACCATAGAGGACCTTTGACTTCCCTCTCCTGCTTATCTCTTGCCCGTCTATCCTTTTGGCCACCTTGCACAGTAACACTCCTTAGCAGAAGCATCAAAGCAGGGACTGAACTAGAGGCTCAGGGCCTTCAGCTAGCCAACTACTATTATCCTTTAGGCCTTTATTGCAGTCACGGAGCTGCAGTTGCCCCTGAGAAATGCTCCCTCAAGCCACAAATCTCAGCTAGCTACTTCAAGATCACAGCAGAAAGCACTAATGGCTTTCATTTACCTCCACCCTGCCACACCCAGCTGACCTTTGCCACCTTCCTCCCGCTATTCACAAGGTATGCCCTGCCTGACTCTTTACAAAGCAGCTGCTGGCTCCACCAGGCCTTCTTCCCAAGGTAACATTCTCTAAATTGTGTTCCCGGTGCTTGTAATGCTTCAGAAAGCCTTTGGAAGTTAGAAAACTTCCAAAGCACTGCAAGAGCTGAGTGTTTGCCTTTCACCAAATAGGGTGCCCATTCTCAAAGATCTGGCGAAGACTTTTCTGAAGGCTTTCTAAAGCATTGGGAGAACAAGATGCACTATTTGGAGAGCAGAACACACAATTTGGAGAATGGAGCAAGCAACTTTGGAAAGAAGGCCTGGCATGGGCAGCAGTTGTCCTGTGAAGGTCCAAGGCAGCCATACCTCAGCAGCAGCAGGAGCTGCTGTCTGATTGATGTGATCAGTGGATATGTATTTATTTGGGATTCTCTCCACTTCCTGCTTAAAGACAACCCTCCTCCCCAAGTATCTGGAATTATGATGGCCACCAGGACTGCCAGCATTGCCAGTGCTAAGTAATGCAGTCACATGACATCACACTTTACAACTGCATTTCTTGGTGACAGAAATTCTGGTCCCAATTATGGTTGTCAAGTCAAGGATTACTTGTCCCCTTTTTGACCCAGAAGATTGGGTAAGCAATTGAGTATATTAGATCAGTCACTCATTTTATTATTTATTTCTTCAATTACTGGAGGAAATTAGTGGAGGAAATAAATATGCTTTTCTCAATAGAATCTAGATTGGGGTTCTATTTAAAAAAACCATTTTCCTTCATAGCATAGACAGGACACAAACTTGAAGCAGGATTAGTGAAAGATTTGAATGCACAAGGCCTTCAAATATGCTCAAATTCTTCTGAATAGGAATTCTGTACAATCCTTCTTGGAATATTCTGACTTGAACAATCTGCTACAATTCCAAAACAGCAACTGCCCATCCTCATGTAAGTTACCTTTTCACTAGCATCTGATGAGAGGAAGCTATCCAAGCTGAAGCAGGTCAACATTTGTTCCTGTTCTTCCAGTGAAAAGGGTTGAGAGAGGCTGTTCAGAATCAGATCTATGGAAATGAGAATGGACTAAAATGAAGACGTTGAAGACTGTCCGCTGTCGGCATCCATGATTACCCTAAACTGATCTGGAGTAACCATCATCTCATTTCTGGATTCATTATTAAAACAGATAAGGGCTCCATTATCTCATTAACATTTCAAAATACAATGGTTATAGTTTTGATTTTGCTTCCAATAATAAATTAAATGGATTTGCTTTTTTTAAAAATAAATGTGTATTGTATTTATACTAATTCTTGCTTGGCAGCTATTATATTTAGTTTTAAACATACTGGCATGCATTTCTCATTCTTACTACTTAATTTCTCCTTCTCTAAAACAAACCTTTCTTTCCTCAAAAGTTCAACCCAGTTAAAGCCTTTTTTTGTCTTTTGTGTTTCCAATATAATCTGCCAATAAAGAATTATTTTAATTTTAATTTAGTTTATTTGTAAATAAAATATTTGTAACTCTAAAAAAAACAATGGATATTTTGCCCATTGGCATATACTGGAATAAAACCTGTTTCTTCTGAATCCTGCTAGAACAACCGTATTTTTCAGAGTATAAGACACTCCAGAGTGCAAGACGCACCTTAGTTTTTGGGAAGGAAAGTGAGAAGAAGAAAAATTCTGCCTCTGCCTACCAGCATCCATGGTATTCAGCTGGTTAATTTCCTGTCAGTTGTGAGAGTTCATGACTTGATCAGCCAATTAATAGGAATAGCAACTAAGTCAGCAATGAAGGTTATTTGGACTCTGAAACTGTATTTGCTGGGTGAGCAACAAGGAGACATGAAGGAGCCTGGCTTAACTGAGAACTGAAAGTGAAAATGCTTGTGTTTTGCTTGTATTTACCTTGGAAAACCTGCTTTTGGTATTGTATTGTATATTATTATTATTATTTTGAATCCTGCTGAATCAGTTACTGCGATTTCTGAATGTGATTGCTGCTGCAAACTCTGATCAGCCAGGTCAGCTTCAGCACTTATTGCAGCCTGATTCAGCACAGCTGATTGGCGAGTGGATCGGACTACCGGAATACTCCCAGGCTGCAGGGATTGCCACAGACCATCATGTTTTTTGCCTCAAGGGGTAGGGGCTACATTCAGTGTATGTACGTTGCACCCAAATTTTCACCCTCTTTTTTTGGTGGGGGGAAGGTTATACTCTGAAAAATACGGCAATTAAAAACTTTAGGTGCTTCAAAATGATTTGGAAGAAGGGCTTTGGATTTCATGCATGAACACAGCACCTTTCTACTATTTATTAAAGCAGCCACATTGAAACTGTTTTAATGAAAAGTAAGACAGTATTATGCCAAAGCAAATAAACACTTCTTCCAAATTATTTTTGAAACACTGAACTACATTAATAATGAATCCCTTTCACAACTTAAATAAAGGAGTGAAATTGGATTACCAAGTTTATTGACTCATCTAAAGAACATTTTACTTACATTAACACTTTTTTAACCGAGAATCTAATGCAAGGTTTTCAAAGGATCCTTTCATTTCCTGATTCTACTATTAAATTTAAATATTACATATGCTCATTCTCTAAAATGTATACTATCAGATACCCCTGGCTACTTTCACACTGCAACATACTCAATTTCCTTCATGGATGTCTGGGTATTTGCAGGTTCCTTTGATTCTGCTACCGTCATTACCCTCACCTTCTTTTAAACTTTAAATTATATGACTGGCTTCTTCAACTAAATTAATAAGCAGGTAGAAATGTAAGCAGGTATACAGCATTCAGAAAAAATGTCTATGATGTGGACAGCTATACAAAAAGCTTGGGGAAAAAAAGAGAGGTCAGGAAAATAGATGGCAAACAGAGAAGCAGCTTTAATGATAAGAAAGCCAGTTTGGTCTGCTGATTAAAGCATCAGGCTAGAAAACAGGAGATTGTGAGTTCTAGTCCCACTTCAGCCATGAAAGCCAGCCTGGGCTGGTCATTGTTTCTCACTGTTTCTTTCCTTCCTTCTCCTATTTTGGGAAAATAGGAGGAAGGAGGAGTATTAGATATGTTTGCTGCCTTGAATTATTTATAAAAACAATAAAGGAAATGAATGGATGGATGCATGGATAAATGAACGAATCAATCAATCAATCCTGATCCATGATTACCAAACTCCAGCTGCTGAAGGTCGTGGTCAATGCTGGGAGTCCTCCATTCTGTCATGTTGTATTTCCTAATACTGGCTGGTACCAGGAAGGAGGGTAGAAGGGAGTCACATGGTGGCAGTAATTCCTTGCACATGTCTGGGTGAGTTAACTGCTTTCTCTCAGTCAGATCCTGACATGGTAGTGGAGGTCTAGGGCTTCTAGACAACACCTTTTGGCTATCCGGGAGTTCAGGTATGGATAACAATAGTTCTGTGAGAATAGCTTTCTGTGTTGACTGCAGGCATCTAGGTTCTCTGTATTCAGCACTCCAAGAACTCTTCAGTCCTCCCACTACAAAACAGAAGCACATATGGAAAAATCTATGATAAAAACAGCTCAGGAACACTGGAACCCCTGTTCAACCACCACTTACACATTTAACACAAGGTAAGATACCTCCAAAGTTTCAGATGATATACCTAGATGTTCTTAGTTCTTCTAAATTCCCTGTAGCAATCAATTATGAAGAGGGAAAATATAAATACATTCTATAATAAATATATTAATAAAATGGTGACTACTGTGACATGGTTTTATTTTCTACTGTTCAGCAGAATAATGTTTTATCATATTTTCAAACAAAACAAAACCAAAAGGCCATAAACAGTAAATCACTTTTGTCTTATTTGACAAAAGACATAGCATATACATATGGAAATCAGGAGTGAGTTTGACTATTTGTTTCAGTGCTGTATCACTAAGCACAGAAAGATGACTGGAATTTACAACAATAAAAGCATACTGCTTTCTAAAATATCACAAAAATTGTTGCCAACAGGAACAACTGGGAAGGCTGTCCCACAGAGTGCAAACCACTACCATGAGCTAAATTATTTGGTGCTTTTATCAGGGCAAATACATGTTTTTGATTTGTAGCCAGAAGCCTGCTGATAAAACAGTCCCATGCTCACAGTCCAGGAATTACTCAACTATAATGGTTCTTATTTGTCAGCTTGAAGGAGACATTATCTTGATCTGTTTTATTAACCAGCCACATAGAAGGACTGTTTTTTAGCAGCACTCAGTAATACATCATCCTTTTACTAATATACAACTTCAGAATTTTGCACTCACGGATCAGAGAGAACAAAAAAGAAGAAATGTATGTATGTATGTACGTACGTACGTATATCATAAAGTTACCAGAAACATTCTGCGGACAATAAATTAGTATAATTTTATTTGATCAATGTAGGAGAAGGATTGGCAGAGCCAGAAAGAGAGGTAAAACAAGGAATTAGTTTAGTTGTTATGTAATCTCAAACAAGCTAAGTCGAACTTCCTTTGAACCTTATCTAGCTCTAATCAGTTGTTGATTGTTTATTGAGAAGATTCCCGTGCATATGTTTTTAGCAATAAATCAGTTAAATTGAACCTTCACGTGTGGCCCTGGTTTTCATGCATGACACTAGGGAAGGCAATCAAATTCATTTACAGACAATGCTTGCCCTGTGACATGCTGTGTACTTTTACTTTCTTCCAATTTATAGCACACAAGTTACTAAACAAAACCTGACTTCTATGTTTTCTCTTACACAACCAAATGTGAAAATGATTCATGGAAGCAACATAAAGAGAAATGTCAGGAACAAAATAAAAGAGGAAGGTTTTCTTCAGGGGACTGTGGGGACAGATGCAAGAAAGGAAGAAATTGCCAGCCAGTTGCATGTTCAGTTGGGCAAAGCAATCTCACCTTGCTTAAGTGCTATGCAGGTTTTCTTCTTTAGCTCTGCTGCAGAAGCTCGTTTTGTAGGATCTTTCTCAAGGCCAGAGATAATGACCCTAACAGTGGATGGGTGACAGGAGGGAGGAATTTCTCTGAGAGGGGGTAGTTCTTTGGCTATCTGCAATGCAGAGATACAGGAAAATGGATACTGATCAAAAGCAATCAGAAAGCTACAGGCCTACAAATGGTAACTATTTAACAAACAATGACAACTACTATTGTATATATACTATATGAAATAGAAATCAATTTCTCACTTTTTTGAAAACAAGGCATAGATAATACTATGTGACCGACAACTGCAATACAGGCAAAGACCCTTAATATTTTGGCACGAAAATATTAATCTATATAGTAATTCTACCAGGCACACACTATAGACTGATAGGTTGTCTTAAAGGCAATACTCAAAAGGGACAAAATATGGGGCGTGGCTTGCAAATAGGACCAGTGCTATCCAAATGTCTTAGATAGATAGAAATTGTGTTTCCTCACTGGCCAACATTTGCCCAGCTCTTAAATCCAAGCCTACTATATTTCATCAGGCTGAATTAAGAAGACAAAAATTAGAATCATTTTAGCCCCCAGTGAAAAGACAGAATAATTATATTCTTTGAAAACCTGAAAGGTTTTACGCTACATTTTCAATTGTTTAAAATAATGTTCTTTTGCATTAAGAATAGCCAACTGCAACCTAAATAGTATTTTATACATCAAAATTTATATAATTATTAGATACGACTTGCATCCACACTAAACTTCTCAAATAGAGTGTCAGGCTTGGAAGCCATCTTTTACAGTGGGCCTCAAGCCTACCACATATTCTACTGTGGGAAACTGGGAAGGGGGATTGTATGGAGCATGAGACCTAAGTAGTCAAAATAACATTCTTTCTCAGAAAGTCAAGGTCATTTTGTCTTGGCACCTGGAGGGGCATTGCTGGGAGGAATTTCTCTATGGGATAGTGACTGATTGGACTATGTGATGGACATGTGGGTGCTGATTCAGATTTGGGGTTTCCCAGATGTGCCAACATGGCTCTTCTAATAAATTGGAATTTTGAGGAACCTCTAGCCTCTGACTTTTATTTTATGGAGGATGCTATTTGGAATCCTGAAACCCTGACCTTAACCCATATCTTGACATAGAGGTTTTTGTCTAAGAGCTGATTCCTGAAGCTGCTCTATATTAAAGATTCAAAGAAAATTGTCTTTTGCATTTTCCTAATTATAGCCCTTCAGCTTCTGAGTGATCATTTCTATATGGACTAAATACTGTGTTGTTTCAGAATTGAATAAGCTTACTTCATGTTTGTCCTTTATCTTCCATTATATATGCAAACTGATTTACTAAAGGTCTCATTGTTTTAATTAAAATTCAACTTCAGGTAAATGAGACCAGAATTGCAGTCTAAATGCCAACTTCACCCATCCATTCTTGCAGGTTCTGCGTAGAACTAAGTAGGCACATACTCATTTTCTAACAAATATTTATGTAAGAGAAAAATGACCCTGAATTTAAAATGTCCCAAAAGTGCTTTTTTCAGGAGGCAACTGGACTTTCTGGTTTTTCTCCAAAGATGTTTTGCTTCTCATCCAAGAAGCTTCTTCAGCTCTGACAGGATGGTGGGGAATGAAAGAATCATCCATCCAAATATATTTGTTTGGGACTGGATAAGCTATAGCCACAATCCCAAGAAACCCCTTTTTATAGACTGTTGTTCACTTTGAACTTATCATTATAAGGATCTTACCATTTAACAAATATTGCTGATTTTTTGCTAAAAGGTTCAAGCAAATGGCTTTTGTCACCAAACAACTAGACAGAATAGAGACTGTGTATTTCAGTGTAAACCACAATTTCTAGAGATCTGAAAATTTGAAGTAATTCCGAGGTGGGACCTGTATTAAAAAAATTACCATTCAACATAATGCACTTATTTTAGATTAACTATTGGTCTCCAGAAGACCAATATTTAATATAAAATAAGTGCATCGTATTGAATGGTAAACGTTTTGGATTTTAAGCTACCAACAAAATATGTATTTACTAACAAAAGATACATTTTTTAGATTGGTTGAGAACACTAAGTATTTCATGCCACAATTATCTGTTTTGTCTTTCAAATAAATGAACCAACAATTTATCCATTAATAACTGATGACTTACTTTGAGGCACAGAGGATGATTATAGTACTTGATCCAAGGATGATACCCATTCAGTAGGTGCAGCATCATACAGCAACTACTCCAGATATCTATCTTGAAATCACAGTGCTTCCCCATTATGATTTCAGGAGCCAAGTGGGTCTCAGTGCCTGGGACATAATCCCCTAAAAGAGTGAATAGAGAAGTAAATTGGTTCTTTGGGGTCCTGCTGGGCCCTGTTCCATACAAGCAGCCATGCTGAGACATTCTTAAACTAATAAAGGCTAGCCCAAGAGCCCTTCACTGTAGAACGCCAGACACCACACAAAAAAATTAATGTTGGAGTATTACAACTGAGAGACAAGGCAAGAATACAGAAAACTTGAGTTCAGATTCATGCTGGTAGGAAACTCTCTGGAAATAAGTACTGCTTGGGAAATAGGAGTACCCAAAATGTTTTGCATTCACAAGGTTTCAAATCTGAAAGAGGTATTTTAAAGCCAAACAATCAGCCGCTTCATTCTCAAAACACTTCTGGAGTGGTCCCCACCCCTGCTTCCCCATTCATTAAATGTGGGTTGTTAAGTGGAGTACGTGATGCTTCAGGAGTAGGGGAAGAACCTGTGGGCCTAGTGCAGGCACAAGCCCACTTGTCTCCATCTTCTTAAAGACTCTCCCCACCCTGACACCCCATGCTCCACTTCCCATCCTTTGCAGTCCCCACAGTTCCTTGAGCCTCCTCCCCACCCCCATCCCTGTCACTGATTGCTCATTTACCCTTTCAAGATCTCCAGAGTTCAAGAGGCTGAGGTAGGGAAGGATGACAGGCTTGTTCATTACTGGGCCATTTGGCAGAATTCTACAAGCAGCAATCTTTTTGTGAGATGCTGGTGAAGCTCTTGGCTTTCCTTTCCTCTCTAGCCCTAACCTTCCTTTCCAAGGCATTAGCATATGCTGCTAAACTTGGGGGGGGGGAGCCAGGGGTTGCAAGATAAGATCCTTTTTGCTTTTCCTTCCTCCCTAGCCTTAGTCAAAGCAAAGAGAATTTTATCTCCTATGAAACTTATATCTAAGTTTATATTACCCAGGATTTTTGACATAATTTTATTTTTTCTCAATTTTGAGGCAATTTTCTTGTTGGTAAAGCACCCACAGTAGCTCAATTTGAATAATATATAAAGTTCTTGGGTAAAGATTATGGGCAGAAGATATATAACATACACTATATTGCCAAAAGTATTCGCTCAACTGCCTTTACTCGCATATGAATTTATTGTGACATCCCATTACTAATCCATAGGGTTCAATATGATGTCGGTCCATCCTTTGCAGCTATAACAGCTTGAACTCTTCTGGGAAGGCTGTCCACAAGGTTCAGGAGTGTGTTTATGGGAATTTTTGACCATTCTTCAAGAAACGCATTTGTGAGGTGACACACTGATGTTGGATGAGTTTACGTGGCCCACCACTTCATAGATGAGTTGCTGTCATTCCCAAACACTTCCATGTACAGTTGATTGTGGAATATTTAGGAGCGAGGAAATTTCACAACTGGATTTGTTGCACAGGTGGCATCCTATCACAGTTGCACGCTGGAATTCACTGAGCTCCTGAGAGCGACCCATTCTTTCACAAATGTTTGTGAAAACAGTCTGCATGCCTAGGTACTTGATTTTATACACCTGTGGCCATGGAAGTGATTAGAACACCTGATTCTGATTATTTGGATGGGTGAGCGAATACTTTTGGCAATATAGTGTATATAACACCATATAACATTTTTTTAAAATAATGCCCTTAGAAATTGTGCCTAAAATATTGAGTCAGATATAAAGATACATTTTCATATCTGATGTTAGAAGATAGTGAGACAGACACCTCTAAGTTATTTATATTTAGGGCTGAGTTGCAAATTTAGAACATAAAGGAAACAGTCGTCCAATGTTTGTACATCAACAGCCTCTTCAGAACCTGCCATAGGTTACCTGTGATTAGATAGTTCCTTATGCCATCTGGATGAAGTTGAGCTGCATGACCAAAGTCACAGAGAACAGCATGGCTTTTGTCACCAGATAAAAGGACATTGTCAGCTGCCAAAAGAAAAATTGCAAGTTTTCAAACCATCAATATCTATCTATAATATTGTTAACAAAACCATCTAGTTCTCCTCCTTAGGTTCTCACCTGACATTTTGACTTTATTACTGGGGACCAGAAGTGCAGATTTACATGATTAAGTGTTCCTCCATAGAAATTCTAATATGAGAGAAATTAACATCTCAGGCAGAAGCCTAAAGAGAGTCCCTCTCCCTCAAAGTTAGTTTTCTATGTGAAAGGAGGCTGCCAGAACATTCACATAATCTTCTATTGAAGGCAAAGACAAGCTGACTAATTCACATCATCTCCTATTTTCTGAAACTGCAGCAATTAATGCAATTTTGAGCAAATTCTCTGCTACTTAGAGTTGGCTGTTTAATGCTGATCTTACCTTTTACATCTCCGTGGAGAATATTATGGGAGTGGAGGTATTCCAAGGCCTCCAGTGTTTGGCTGAGATAATCAAGAGCTCTGTCCTCAGGGAGGTATCCACATTTCTTAACTAGCTGGCCTAGTGACCCACCTAGAAGAAAAAAGTCCCATCACTCAGAGAAAATTATTCCTGTTATTAGCTAATCACCAAGAAGTACATTAGCTTCTTCAGTCTATAGAAAAATATCAAGTGGCTTCATAGTCAAGAAATCTGCAATCGTGGCTCTTATAGTTAAAGGGCAACAATGTACAAAGAAGACATGGTGACTACAATTTGGAAAGTCTGGGACTGCATGTGGCCCTTGAACCATAAGTTACACACATTAACTTTAGAGTTTCTTCCTCTTCCTAGTGTATTCCCGCTAGTGCAGGGTCAGCTAATTAGCTATAAAACTTCTTCATCTGTAATCTAATACATATTTTTATAGCAAGACTATAAAAGCAAGAAGTAAATATTCAGGAGGGTGTTTTTTTTCTTCTTCTGTTCAATCATGCCCAATTCTCAGAGATTACTTGAACAAGTCCCTGCAGTTTTCTTGGCAAGGTTTTTCAGAAGTGGTTTGACATTGACTTCCTCCTCGGGCTGGGAGAAACTCAGTTGGGCTTTGTGCCAAAGGCAGAGCTAGAATTCACAGCCTCCCGCTGTAAGTTCAACTACTGGACCAATAGGTTCTAACTAATATTCAGTTATCCTCTACTAAAAATAGAAAATACTTATCCCCAGTTAAAAGAGAAATTAACACTAAAGTCAGGAAACAGTTGTGATCCTTGGCTTTTAGGGAAATAAAATGAAATAAAGCATAAATTGACGGCTAGAGAAAAACAGGCAAGATCAGGTCAGGAAAGATATTCTGCTTCTCTACTAAAATTTTAAAGCATTCTATATTTATAGGACCATTAAAACCAAGATGTTAAAAGTTCATTATATTTTAGTATGATGAACAAGTAAGGCCCAAATAATATTATTTTTTTTAAAAAGCAAATCTAAGACTGAAGGAAAGTGGGGTGGTTTAGATAGTGTTTGAAGAAAAGTATTCCATCAAGTTTCAGTTCCATATCCCACAACAACCACATCAGGCAACATTTAATGGTTGTTTAAATGTTGCAGAAGCAATTCCCTACAAACTTAAATTGACTAAATTAGATCCCTGCTTCAGATCTAGTCAACCAATTTATTTTGGCCTCTGCCAATAGTCTGTGATTTCTATTGTTCATTGCTAATATCTTTTCTCTGTTCCTGATCACCTACCTTCCATCAGTTTCATGAAGATGGTAACCCACTGGCCTTCTTTCACTGCTCCATATAATGGAAGGACTTTGGCATGTGTTACTCCAGCACATGTTGACAACTCTTCTGCACGAAAGTGTTCAACTTGTACCTAGAAAGAGAAGTATGAGTTAAAAAGGCTCAAACAATATTGGATTTAAATAGAAAAATTATGCCTTTCACAAACAATTAAAATAAGCAATATCTTGTTTCTTCAAATGAATTAAGCATGAGTGGAGTGGGGAAAGAAACCCAGGACTAGGGAAGTTCAGAGCAGTGAGAAAGCAGAAGATGGAGCAAGCTGGGGTATTTGGATTTCTTATCTTTAAGGAAATTTGAGAGGCAAGCAGACCACTTGGTATTTATACCTACTTAACCTTAATTACAAAGGATTGTGATTCTCAGCTGCTTAAATGAAGAAAAGATGAGAATGAGAGGCAGAAAACATTGAAATGGAAGAAATAGATCCTAATAAATTTTTATAAAGAAAATTATGGCAACAAATAAAGCTAAAATACAAGCTGGCAGAAAAAGAAGTAAAACCAAATTAACAATGGATTAAAAAACAAGACGAGTAAGCAATGAGCCAAGGAAACATTTAGGCTCATGATAATTCTAAAGTAATTGAGAAAAATATGATCACCAGGGTTGGGGAGAAAGGGAAGCTATTGTTTAACTAAGCATTTGCTTGGGAAAACCAGAGCTGGTTTTGATTCTTCAGTACCAAAATAGTGTATCCAATAAAGTTTTACTTTTGAGAATGCAAAGCTCCCTAGAGTGTTTACTTGTTTTGGGCACACTAATGACATTTGGTCCCACTGAAGCTGCATTTTCAACATTGAAGTTACAGAAAGCAGAATAACAAAAAACACAAAAATCCTGGCATAAGCATGGGTCTTTATAAAGAAACTGATATAAAAATATGACTAGTGCCAAAAAGAGTAAGAAGGATCAAGGAATTGGGGGAGGGGAGCAAACAAGAGTAGTTTTAATTGAAAAGTGTTTCTTTTTCATGGCTTTGACCTCACATCTCTGTGGCCTGAACAGATAAGACAAACAAGCAAGAACAAACCAATATTATACTTTGATACAGTAATACGTTCTCATCGAAACAAGCTGAGATCTGAAAGCTAAAGTCACATTGTGCGTTCAGTTCAAAAATAAGCTAAACATATCCTAGTATTTTTTTGTATGAATGAAGCTAAATATTCTTTTTCCAGCTTGTTTTTTCAACCCAGACATTAAAATACAGTCTGCCTCTAGTTATAGACAAGAGAAAAGCTAAAATGACAGCTGATTATATATATAGTCTGGTAAAACAAAAAGTCTGTAAAGAATAATAGCCAGAAGAAAAATATTAGTCATTAACATGCTAGTTGCTGGTAATTGTTGGATCAGAGAATGAAATAAAGAATGGAAATTCAGACCCAAGGAAAAAAAGGAATTACAAAAATAGCCTCAGGATTTTTGCACAAAGTCATCAGAGAAACTTTCAGGCATCTGAGCTTCCCAACTTGTTAACTTAGCTCCCCCTTGTGTCTTAAACATAATATCAGCATTAAACATAAGAAAGTGCATGATGCAATACAAGGAGGAAGTCTAGACAGCTGCTGGAGGTGCCACCAAAGCACACTATGTGTCACAAAAAGAATTAAACACCTACAAATCAGCTCCAGCTAGTAGCTTAAAGCTACAGCTTTGTCTAATAAAACTGCATAAAAGTTGTGATGTATGCTCTCACACCATACTTCGTATTTAAATATAGAGATTGGTGATATTTTTAAGACTAATACTTTAATTACATCATGAGCTGTTGTGGCTGGAGCCCATTTAATTGGATGAGGAGTAAACCACGACTACAATTATATTCTAAAAGAAGTAAGCCAGACAAATTGCCAGGATACAATGATCAGATTAAAGAAAGTTCCATTATTATTAATACCTGACCCTGTTACAAATTGAACAAATGATTTCTGCCATGTAAGAAAGCAGCTAAGATTGCCTCAGCAGGACAATATTTTGGCCTCTATACAAGAGTGATCCTTCCCTAGCAGCCCATTACACCCACAGCCAGCTGGAGATTCCGCTGTTTGGTGTCACTATGGCGACGGCTTCTGGCTTGACCTTGAGGATGTGACAAACAAGTTTCAGCAAAGCATCACTGCTGTGACTGCTCCAGCCTTCAGCAGTTCCACTGAAAAGGGAAGCAACTTTCATTTCCTCTTTTTAATGCTGCTTTCCCTCCCTTGGAGGCAACAGATTTGCATAATGTACCACTGTACCTTTTTGGCTGCGCACTGAAAGCCGGTCTGTTTGTCCTCCATTTTGTACACTTCTCCAAAAGAGCCTGTGCCGAGCAAACCTTGAGATTTAGTCCAGTGAACCTCTTCTCGGTACTCATAATCGACTGCTTTGAGTTTCTGCAGATTAGCAACCAGGAAACAAAAGAGGAAAAGAGCCCTTGAAAAGAGAATGAATTAACTGACACTGCCAAAATTATTGTTAAGAACAGGAGAAAAAAAAAACATTTCAGAGCTTGCCTTTTAAAGACAAATTATCCTGCCATTAGTTCACATGTTTATTAATTCTTCTCTATCCTTGAGCCTTAGAAATTTACTTTTATTTTTTGGGAAGACTAGCCCTCCCCAATCCAGTATGTGTTCTCTTTCTCTCTCTCTAACTGCAACTCACATAATTGTAGCTATTCTAGTTTTAAAGCCCAGAATCTACAGTGAGAAAGTTGGATGGTTACCTACTTATTTCTCTTGCCCCTAGAAAAGAACAATAGCTGTCTTTTGCTTCAAATGAAGCTTACATAATCCTAGGAAGAAGCACAATTTGAAGAGAGAACAAAGATGCATCACAAAATGAGATCCTCAAACAGAGAGTGACAAAGTGACATGAATTCAGGAGGCACCCCAGAAATTCTCTCTGTATACCTTCCATCTTTGACTCTGTGAGAAACCTAGGATTTCTATTAGCAGATTCATGCAATAAAAATAAATGCTTGTCTTACATGGAAAGATTTTAAACTCTTTCGAGTTTAAATTGTTTCTATGAACAATTTATTTAAAAAAATAAATGCTCTTTAGACATCATGATAATCAAAAATATACCAAGTTACAGCATCACGTTCACAAAGCCTTAACAGCATAGCAGAACAAGAGTCTTCCTCACCATATACATAACAGTGACCAGGACTCAAGAGTATTCTTACTGCTACCGTGCTTCCCCGAAAATAAGGGTCTTATTTTCTTTTGACTCCCGAAATAAGCACTTGGACTTATTTTGGGGGAAGTCTTATTATTTTTGAGGTGCAGGAGGTGGCGAGCGTGGTCACCTCATGGCTGCAATATTTTTGTGGAGGTCTTATTTTTGGGGAAAGCTTATTTTAGCCCATGTGCTCAAAAGTCCGAATTGGGCTTATTAATCAGGGAGGTCTTATTTTTGGGAAAACAGGGTATATTACTCACAAATTACAGCTTCATAGGGATAAAGTCATGAATTCATATAATGCTTTCCAACATTACTGAAACTAGGGATCACCTCCTTTTCTATTGGCAATAAATTTCATGGGGGGGGGGGAGAATCACAATGCTATGTCATGATATATTTCTTTCTGCCTGTCCAGAATCTAGAACCAGATGTTCAGCTTTATTATTGGGAGCCAAATATTAAACCATAGTTCGCTTAATTAAAATGCTCTAGTTCTCACATAAACCTTAAAAACAGCATCTGCATTTCAATACCAAAACCAAATGAAGCTATTATGGCATGTTGTGTGAATAGCCAGTGAAACTCGCAACATGGATTTATAAATGCTAAATGATAAATTATGAGTTTATAAAGAACTGCAACTTTCTTCACACATCACACTATAGTAAATAAAAAGCAAACACATTAAGGTTTAACATAAAGAGTGAACTCAGCAATTTCTTCTGATAATATTCAAACAGAAACAAGTAGGATGCAAAAACAGGTTCAATCAAAATGGACTCAAATGTCTATATACCAAGCACAGAGTATAAAGAATAAACAGGGTGAATTAGAAATTCAAGTAAATGAGGACAGATATGATATTGATGCCATTATGGAAACTTTGTGGGATGAAACCCACAAATGGAATACACAGCTAGAGGGATTTAAATTATTTAAAAGAAATAGACCAAATAAAAGAGGAGGTAGAGTTGCACTATATATAAGAAATAACTGTATCTCTACAGAAATAGAGCACTACAATGATGAAAATTATCTTGAATGCATTTGGGTCAATATTAAGTTTTGGGGGGGGCTGACATTGCCATAGGTCTATACTATAGGCTACCAACCAGAGGAACAGAGGAAATAGACGAACTATTTGCTAGTCAGCTAACTAAGATATGTAGGAAGCACATCACAATAGTAATGGGGGATTTTAACTACCCTGACATCAACTGGGAGACAAACTCTGCACCAAGTGGAAGATCCAACAGGTTCCTAACAGCCATATTGGACTTAATTCTCATTAAGAGATTAAATGATAGAACGTATTGAAGCTACAGGAAGGAGAGCCTTCTCTGTGGCTGTTCCTACCCTCTGGAACGAACTCCCTGTGGAGATTCAAACCCTCACCACCCTCCAGGCATTCTGCAAAGCCCTTAAAACCTGGCTGTTCTGACAGGCCTGGGGCTAAAGAGCTGTTGCCCCCGTCTCGAATGGTATGACTGTTGTGTGTTTTAAATTATGCATTGTTATGTGTCGTTTTTTAATTTTTTGTCTGTACCCCCCTTCCCTGGTTTGAGTTGTGAGCCGCCCTGAGTCCCCTTCGGGGGAAAAGGGCAGCATATAAATATAATAAACAAACAAACAACAAACTTTGGGGGCAAGTGATCATGCAATATTGGAATTCAACATTATGCAAGCACAAATAGTAGAAGAAAGTCAAACTAGAGTCTTGGATTTTAAGAGAGCTAATTTAAATAAACTTAGAGAGCGCTTGGGAAGAATTCCATGGATAAGAATCCTCAAGGGGAAAACAACACAAGAAGCTTGAGAAATTTTGAAAAGTGAGATTATAAAAGCCCAGTCTAGCACAATACCAATGAAGAAGAAAAATAACAGCTCTCAAAAGAAACCAGCATGGCAGCATATTTCTGGCAAATTGAAAGATAAAAAGGACAAGTATAAAAAATGGAAAGAGGAGCACATAACTAAGGCAGAATATCAGCAAATAACCCGAGCCTGTAAAGATGAAGTGAGGAAAGGCTCACAATGAACAAAGGCTTGCCACAGAAGTAAAAAATAACCAAAAAAAGCTTCTTCCAACATGTTAAGAACAAGAAAAAAGTCAAGGAAATAATTGGTCCATTGCTGGGGGAAAGTGGCAAGAAGGTGATACGTAACAGGGAGAAAGCAGAACTACTTAACTTGTTTTTTTGCATCTGTCTTTACACAAAGGGAACAAACAGTCCAACTATCAAAAACAGCACCACAAAAAACAGATTAGGAACATAAGTTAAAATAGGGAAGAAAATGATAAGTGAGCACCTGTCTACTCTACACGAGTTCAAATCACCAGGACTGAATGGATTACACCCCAAGGTTCTGAAGGAACTAGTAGATGAGATCTCAGAACCACCGAACTATATCTTTCAAAGATCCTGGAGCAATGGAACTGCATCTACATGGAGGGAAGTATGCAGTGGAGTACCCCAAGGCTCTGTTTTAGGCCCAGTACTCTTTAACGTCTTCATCAACGATTTGGACCAGGGGATAGATGGGGAACTCATCAAATTTGCAGATAACACCAAGCTGGCAGGAATAGCCACGAATATTCCAGAAGATAGGCTTAAGATACAGAAGGATCTTGACAGACTTGAACATTGGGCGCTATCTAACAAAATGAAATTCAATGGTGAAAAAAGTAAGGTTCTACATTTAGGCAAGAAAAACAAAACATACAGGTAAAGTATATGTGGTACTTTGCTCAATAGTAGTATGTGAGAGGGATCTTGGAGTCCTAGTGGACAACCATTTAAATATGAGCCAACAATGTGTAGCAGCTGCCAAAAAAGCCAACACAGTTCTAGGCTGCATAAACAGAGAGAGGGAATCAAGATCACGTGAAGTGTTAATACCACTTTATAATGCCTTGGTAAGACCACACTTGGAATACTGCATCCAGTTTTGGTCGCCACGATGTAGAAAAGATGTGGAGACTGTAGAAAGAGTGCAGAGAAGAGCAACAAAGATGATTAGGGGACTGGAGGCTAAAACATATGAAGAACGGTTGCAGGAACTGGGTATGTCTAGTTTAATGAAAAGAAGGACTAGGAGAAACATGATAGCAGTGTTCCAGTATCTCAGGGGTTGTCACAAAGAAGAGGGAGCCAAGCTATTCTCCAAAGCACCTAAGGTCAAGAAAAGAAGCAATGGGTGGAAGTTGATCAAGGAGAGAGGCAACTTGGAACTGAGGAGAAATTTCCTGACAGAACAATTAATCAGTGGACCAACTTGCCTCCAGAAGTTGTGAATGCTCCAACACTGGAAGTATTTTTAAGGATGGGATGGATAAATTGTTTCTATTTCAAATGAGGACCCTACTACCTTCCGTATTAATTCATTTATTGAAAATAACTTAAAAGTTCATTAAAATGATTTTTCAAGTTATTTTCAATAAATGAAGTTCATTAAAATGAACTTTCACTCTAAGATCATAATAGTTATTCCTTTATTATACCAGACATAAGAAATTGAATCTCTTTGTTAAAAGCTCATTTTCTTAAGAAAGCTAGCCCAATGGAGAGTAAAATTGCAGTCTCATCTTTTCTTTCTATGCCAGATTTTTAGTACTTTTCCCACTTAAGGAAATATAGAAAGATACAATGCCCCTGGCCCCACGCAGTTTCAAATATTTTAACACAAATATCCTATCTTGTAATACTTTTAATTGTATGTTTTGCCTTTGACCAAGCTTTGCCTTTGACCAAGCTTTGACCCTGTTTATAGGAATATGGCTCCAGGTGATGATCCCTATCTTTTCTTTGCATAATACAGCATGATTGATCAAAAAGTATACAGTTGGTACCCTGTTAACAGTTTTCAAAGGCTCACCTCTGTAAGCAACACTCCTTCATTTTCATTGATTTCCTGTAGGCACACTTTTGAACTTGATCCATTTTTCCAAGTCTTGGCCAAGCAAGCTAGGTTTCTTGGTTCTCCAAGAATAACATTTCCCTTCAATGCATCTACTAGAAAATCATCCATAGAAAAAGTATCTGAAGTGTTTTTTGCAGACTGGTGACATTTGGAAAAGCTATGCGCCAGATTTAAGTCTGAAAGGTAACGTTCATCATCTACATTTGAAAGATCATCAAAAAGATAAGTCTTCAGGGGGCCAGGTTTCAAAGCAGGAAGCAAATAGCTATGGTTATACAAATAAGGAGCAAATTTGTTTGAATGGGAGGGATGCACAATCTCCAATTGAGAGCCCAAATTGTCCTGTGTATAGGATTTCCAAACATGACTCAAGCACTGAGCAGGGCTGATCAACTTGTGTAACTCTAGTTTTGCTTGGTTCTTTATCATGTGCAACTTGCTAGTAGATAAAACTTGGCTTGGTTTCTCAAAGGAACTGAAATCAGAACCAAAATCCTTACATAGTTCTGAATGCCATGAAGTGATATTGAAGAGGGTGCCCAAATGAGAGTCATCTTCCTGGAAGAAAAATGAACTAGTTAGCTACTCAAGGAAAGCTAACCAATAGGATTACGCTCTAAACCCCATCAATAATTAGGAAAGGTATTTTCTCAATTGTCAGATTCCTATAAGTTAAAAGGAAAATAACTAAAAGCTGGGAACCAAGAACATGAATTTCTAACATTTCAGAGGAATGATTTTACATGAAATTTATCTATAAATAAATATGAACCAATAATTTACAGATAATCCTGGACTCACCATCATTCCTTTAATAATGTTAATTATTTATAACCATTGTACCAATTGATCACGGTCTGGGCTCTTAGTTCTTTACCACCACTTGCAGTGTTCTGCAGTGACATGATTGTGAGTGTTTTTATCAATTTCTAGCAAAAATGCCCACTGGGGAAGCTGGATTAATTTAATGACTATGTGATTCACTTAATGACTACTTTAAAAATTATAATAAAAGTATCATAAATAAAACATATTTACGTATTTATCTACTTTAGTATGTTGGATCTCAATTTCAATATTGTCTGGGATGAATTGAAGTTAAAGTCCTAAATGTTTCAGAGATGGTAAATTACAAAAAAGTGGTCTAATACTGCTAAGCTATCTAGTGATCTTTGTCCTCTTTTGTATTGTCATCATACAGGTCATCTAATGTAGATTGTAATTTTAAAAATTTCCCCCCCAAATGGTTTAGAATCTCCTTGTTTTATAACACATTTTGCAACAGGATACATTTCATAAAGGTGAAAAATGGAATCTGAACTGTTGCTCATTTGTACATTGTTAATTCAATTACAAACACATATATGCCTCTGAGGAAGAAAACAGGCACTACTGAGGTTAAGTTCCATTATGCCCATCATTAATACTATATTCAAGCATGATTTGAGGCAGTGTAGAATATGCTCTACCTGCACAGGTATGGGTACACAGCTCTCCTGCTCCGGAGTCCTTGGCTTTTGAATTAGGGAGGTTGCTTTTTTTGCTGTTTTAAGGGAGGATTTTCTCTTTCGTTGTTTCTTCCGGGATTTGCCGCGATGTAAGGCCTTCCAGGAACATGGAGCCATTTTTCCTTCAGTTGCATGAGCCACATTATTGGGGATTTGATCAAGGCTGCAAGACCGGCTGACAGAAAGTAGTAATACAGATATATATACTTTAGCTCAATTCACAAAAACAGTCATTTAGCAGATCTGAAAACTACACACTAAGATCTTGAGAACATTTTGAGTAATCATAATAAGTAAGTTCTCAAACTAAAGAATTTATGTTTGTAAAAAATGCTCTTTTTAATCTTATAATATCCTTCATCTTTAATTTCCAATAAAATATATCTATAAAATTATATATTTTTAAATCATACATTGAAGCACTATAGACACATATTTTATCAGATGTTTCCTTGTCAACAGTATTTTAATATGAGTATCAAAAGTGAGTCAAAGTATTTAGACTTATGAGAATGAAAGCAATGCCATGCCATGCCAGGCACTGGATTTATTTGCTCACAGCAATGTTGAAACATTCATTGTTTTAACTTTACTGACTTTTAGACTTCCTGAATGATATTTTGGGGTGATATGGGCAAAGAGGCAAACTTAGACATAACAGAATAGAAAATGACTGTGAATAACACGAAACAGAATATGTGGGGGGTCTTTCCTAGAAACATTTTATTCTGCTGGTATTATTGCTTCTTGTCACAATAAAAACATTTTATTTTTTCAAAATACAAAACCTAAGAATGAGTCATGCAATGGCTCCCTTTGATACATAATATTGATTCTTTACTCATCTTTCCCTTCTTTTAAAACATTCACTCCTATCTTTTTACAATCAAAGAATAATTTACTTGAATGTTGCTTATAAAATTTAGCCTTGATACTCCACTCTTGCTGAAAATCTGCAAGACAACTTTGTAGTTATCCCATAGCAACTAAGACCTTACATAAATCATGCTACATCTGCAGGGGTATACAATGTTTTTTATCAACACTATATACTTGCCAAGTCCTGACAGTCTCCAAAGAACAATTTCAAAGATAGCATTTCAAATAAAAAATTATGTCACGTAATGCAGAAAATTCTGAAGTATGAAATTTGCTAATTCTAGCACAATGGTTTGGATACCAGTCTATGATAAAAAGTGAAATTAAATGGAATACACTTAACTTAACCTCCGCTGAATGGGGTGCATGAATCAAAGCAGGCAAGGTGGCAGTCATCAAAATATGGTTGAAGAGCCCTGCCCTTGACTACTTTGATGTTTCTCCGGGCCCTGGATATGGATGTGGAATACTCTTTCCAATATGATGATTCAAAGGATCCTTCTCTTTTTAAGCAAGTGAATAGGGGATAAGGAACAGGAGAGGGCATTGTGGTTTTGTATTTTATGAAGGATTACTTACCTATATTGTTTTGTGTGAGCAATAAAAGGCCTCTCTGAATAAGTGGGACTGAACTCCTGGCTTATCTCACCTGAAGAAAGTTATGAGAAAAAGAAGTTGAAATATGCCACAATGAAGCAAGAAATACCAAAATCACACATTGACAGTTGATCAGATCTTAGTATAGTGGACTTCAGATGCAAGATCTGTTCAGCATTTTAACATGTAATGCCATATTATGAATGCATTGAATTTTATTTGACATTAGCTGTTACATAACAACAATTTATCTTTGTATATAATGGTATAACACATGTATACATTCTCTTTCAACATTTCATGAACATTCAGATATAGCAGATCCTCTTGCCCCCAGCAGTCTGTTAAGTCAAGGGTTCATTGTATTTACTCTATGTCACTTACAGGTTCAAAGTTAGAGGTTTCTACCAGAATTAAGACTCAGGATGACAGAGAGAGATGGAAATGCCAGGACAAATGGAAAATAAAAGTGAATTAAGAGCAGTCAATTCTCCCTTCATCATCATAGTATCCAATTGAATGTCCTTATTAAGACTGAAAATCTATTATAGGGCTACCAATATCTTTCCAGAACAGAAAGTTATACTTTCATATACTGTATGTTCCCTCCTTCCCTGCTCCCCCCCCCCTCACATACAGCTTCATCTTCTTCTCCTTTCATTAATATGTTGTTTTCCACTTACATTCTGCCTGGGCAATGATGGAGATTGAGGTTAAGCTCCCTTGTCCGCTGTCTTCCTTGGCAGTTCCTTTAGCAATCACATCGTTCAGGATCTTCCATGATTCATGGAATATCTTCTCATCTGGCTCCTCTACTTTGCAAACGCTGCTTTTCTTTTCACTCACTACTTCTTCTGGCCCTTTGCCCATTAGGAGATCCTTTGGAGATCCAGTAGCTGGATCTGTATGGTCCTGACAAGCTATTTCCATTACTGCCATCTCTTATTTCGGGTATGTTACTAAAAGATAAAGCCCAAGAAAAGAACGATTAAATGACAATTTTTAAGCATTTGTTCTGATAAAGCTTGTGGATATCAATGTCTGTCTATATTGAACAATGAAAAGTACTTTTTCTTGAAGAAAACATATTATTTTGTAGCAGAAAAAACACAATACTTAAGTGACTACTTAGAAATCCCAAACCATCTTTTACAACACCCTTTAAAATCCCCCCAAAATGTATGATTTCTGGTTAAGAAAAACCTAGGAATTGTTGCAAAATACTGTAGTACATCCTTGGCAGAGCTACAGTGAACCCCAAAAATGAGACTGGTTTATGCTTTATGAAGAGAAGAAAGTATTCAATTTATTATTTAGATCAATTTTATCCCAAGCATCATCCAAAAAGATCCCAGAGCAGCGTAAGCACAATTAATGAGTGAGAACTTACAGAACTTCTCCTCTGCTTTAAGGAATTAAGAAAAATAGTTACATGTTCTAAATGTTATCAGCAAGCATTTATGCAAACATCCTGCAATTATTACAAATGTTTTCTTTCCTTTTTTAAAATAAGGATAAAATAAAATATTATTTTATTTGATAAACTATAATTACATTGTATATTACTTTGAGAATAAAATTTTCTTTAAAGACATAACCTTACATACACCTATATTTTGCATCCTTATCAAAAATGTATTTATAATGACTGTGTTTATCATTCATAATTCTAAAGTTGCCCAATTTCTCGAAAATAGACAGTGTACAAAGTGAAAACCACAGAAAGAACTATTATCAGGCAATGGGAAGATGGTTATTCGTGCAGAAGACATAAGAAAATCTAAGAGCGCATAAGCAGCCCAATTCCAAATGTTGGGAAAGAGACAAGCCACATTTAAAGAACAGCAGGCTTGCAATTGTGCTAATCAAAGTATAAGGGATGGTGAGAAAAGCTTCCCAATTCAGGAACAGAGGCATTAGTGTACAAGATGAATCTGTGAGCTTTGAGCAGGACTCAAATTGTATATCAGTTTCCTCTGTGGAAATGTAACCTTATTTAGAATTAGAGATGCAAACTTCCAGTTTGAGATGGAAGTCCATATCCATATCAATATTTACTTTGTCTTGCTTCAATCTGTTTCCCCTATCCATTGCCCTACAACCTCCAAACATTGCTTCAAGTCTTTTATGATATATAAAAGACTCGAAGAACTCAAGATACACATGATACTGAGTTATATAATCAGCATACCAATTATACTTGACCCAGTGGTGGGTTTAAAAATTTTTTATTACTGGTTCTGTGGCCGTGGTTTATTTTGTGGGTGTGGCTTGGCAGTCATGTGGCCAGGTGGGAGTGGCTTGGCGGTCATGGGACCAGGTAGGCATGACTAGGTAGGCATGGTCATGTGACTGGGTGGGTGTGCCATCTTAATGTTACTCACATGGAGGTGAACCTTGCCTGGTTTCTCCTCGCCCCTTCCCTCCCAGTCAGTCCTTGCCTCACCTTGCATGTTATGGTGGGAGAGGAAGTTTTTCAAAGTCATCTTCCCCTTGATACTAGCCAATAAGATGAGATTTTGCTGTCTGAAGACTGCCTGATATACATTTCCAAATACCATGTATCACCATTCTCTTAGTAAGACTGAGTGGAGAGATTTATAAAGAATAATAATAGGGAAGGGACCTTGGAGGTTTTCTAGTCCAACTCCTGCTGAAGCATGAGATGAGACCCTATACTATTATGGACAAATTTCTTCTTAAAAACCTCCAGTGAACCGATCTGCCAGCTGCTGCCGCTATGGTTGGAATGGGGACAGGGGCACTGGCCACCACCACCACTGCCCTCTCCTCCCACCATTGCCCTCTCTTGCCACCACCCTCTTCTTCCGCTGCCGCCCTCTCCAGCATGTGAAACTTGCCAGATTGCCCCCATCCCCGCCGCAATGCTTACCTGTGTGTACGCAGGAGGAGGCAGTGGATGCCCATGGCGAAGACAAGGCAGGGCAAGTGTTCAGACCAGTTCCGGGGCATGGCCAACCAGAAGTTACTACTGGTTCTGTGACCCAGGCTGGCATACCATTACCGGTTTGGCCGAACCCATCCAAATTGGTAGGAACCCACCTCTGACCTGATCCATATAATCCATATAATATTATATGGATCCATATAATCCATATAATAACCACACAGGAGTTTCAACAAGCAAGATCCACTCATGAAGGGTCTAAGTAAGCTGCTTTACTGTGTTCTACCTTTAATACAAGAAATCTTCCAAACTCTTTGCCTTCTCTTGGGAACAATGGGATAAAGTTCCATGGAATTGGGGGGGGGGGGGGGGCGATGTCAGGCTTATGCCTCTTGCAGCTACACAAGGATGCAAGGCTTATTCCCCACTTGACACCATTTCCCTGCCTGGCTGGGAGAACTCCTCTCAACCCACACACTTGTAACTATTTGATCAATTAGGGTATGTCTTCTCTCTTCTTTGACAGCTAAGTGATGGTGGGCTTCCCCCGCTCTTATTCCTCCAAGTTCATTCACACATTCCTTTACAAGTCCTGAGGCACTCCACAGATCAGGGACTTTGGGCTCAATCTGTTTTTTTTTGTTTTGTTTGTTTTTATTAGTATTTATAGGTCGCCCTTTTCCCTGAGGGGACTCAGGGCGGCTTACATAAAATAAGGAAGGGAGGGTACAGACAATAGACACAAACAATACATAGAAGTAAAATAGTAAGCAACATTCATTCATCATTCGGGTGGGGACAAATTATCTTTATCCCCAGGCCTGACGGGCTAGCCAGGTCTTAAGGGCTGTGCGGAAGGTCTGGACGGTGGTGAGGGTATGAATCTCCACGGGGAGATCGTTCCAAAGGGTCGGAGCTACTACTGAAAAGGCTCTCCTCCGTGTAGTTGCCAGTCGGCACTGACTAGCAGATGGAACTCGGAGGAGGCCTAATCTATGCGATCTAATTGGTCGCAGGGAGGTAATCTCTACTCTCTATTAGTACTATCTAGAACTGGCCACAGGGAAAATCAATCCACTGCAATGCCATACCTCTCATTCCCAATCCCTATTGTTGATGACGAAGAATACCATGACTGATGGTTTTAAAGGTAGGTAAGAGATCAAGGAGAGCCACTATCTCATTCTCAGTCATACCAATGCCAGCTCTATGCTTTGGCTGTAACGATTGAAAAGATCCAAATAATCCATTTTCTCCTAGCAATCTGAAGCTGCAGCATGATCACCTTTTCAACAGTTTTTCTCAGAAATAAAAGGCTGAAATCTGGGCAAAGGTTGACATAAACTGTTGGGTCCAGTGATAGTTTCTTAATAAGACATTGTTTCTTGTAAAGGCATGGGGAATCACTACTCTAGGATGAGTTTATCACCACATGATTCCAACTTTTATCATCTCTCTGGAGACCTTAACCAAACAGGAAGGATATGAATCTAACAGTGGGAAGTTAACAGATCCAAGGATCCTATTCATTTCTACAGAAATTATGCCAAAGTTGCCTCAACTGAACCAACCCAGTCAGAGTACAACTCCAAGAGAATCCAAGTGATTGAATATTCTTCACAATGGCCCTCTAGATATTCTGGGGATCCATCTCTCCTAGCAGAGAACAGATTATTTTAAAAAGAGCCAATTGTAGCCCCTAATATAGGTTCTTACATATTATTAGTCAAATTCACTTTACTACTTACTCCAAAAGTGCTCTAAGCTTTTGTTATTTAATTTTCCAGAGCATCTCAGAAAATTAGAGAGTCACTTGGGATCAAAGTCGCCTCTCTCTCAATTAGAGAGTCACCTGGGAATAAGAAAGATCATATAAAGCAAACCTTTCTAAGATGCTCATCACAGGCTCACTTCAGGAAAAAACCCAAGCACCGTCTAAAACATATCATAGTCCAGTAGTGGAAGTCAGTGAATCTCCTGGGAAACAGGGGGAGCAAAAGTATGAAGCAAACTGAAGAGCAACCAGAGAGTGATCCGATTGTAACAAAAGACTGATGGTAATGTCTCAGATCATGGTACAATGTCTATGAGATAAAAAAACAAACCTAAAATGTGATCACCTGTATGTCTCAAGCTCTCAGGAACCTGGATCAGGTCAACTGTTGTCATTGCAGCATGAATTCCTGAGCCTCTACAGGTTCTACATCACACAAGCCTAGCAGTGGAGTCAAGCAGCTCAGGTAAGATGCTTTTGCAGAACACAGGGGCCAGCAGAACAACAAAGGTGTACATAAATTTTTAAAAAACCCAATGAATTATAACCACTGTGGTCAAAAAGATTCTGGGCAATTTAAAGTACAGCTACCAAATGACTCCACAAATAAATAATCATGGTACAATTAAATAACATAACAAAACAAAACCAGAATTCTAACCACATTATAAGGAACAGAATATGATTTCACTCCTATCCAAGAATTAGGTTTGCAGCTTAGAACTACTCTTGAATGGAATTGGCTGTTAAGCAGCAGCTGCAATCAGAAATGGCTCAGCCTTGGCTGGCCTTCACAGTCTCTCTTTCTTAGAGAAAGTAGATTGTGCTGACACAGTGAGGCATTCTAGGTTTTCTGTTCTGCCTCTACCAAAATGGAAACATCATTTTTATATTGACTGGGCTGCCTTTTCATTTTCTTTTTCTATGTTTGCCCCCCTCCCCAAAAAGTATAAAGCATTTCACAAAAATCTTAATATTTCTCTTTTGCACTGTTTTACCCATTTTATATTCAAATAAATCAGTTGTATATAAAATATGTATATGTGTATAGCAGTTTTACTGAGTAACATTAAGCATACATTTACCTGACAATAGGAAAAAGTTATGAAATTAGGCATCAAAATTGGAACATACAATCTAAATTACTGCAGAGATCCCTAATTAGAATTCCCTGCTGTAAATGCTTATTTAATTATCACTTTTGGAGTATAACATAATTGGCATTCAATTTGTTGCCAAATACAAGATATTCAGGGCCAAATGAATTTGTCTTTATATTTTTACAGAGATGCATTAAGCCAAAATAAGGAGAGCAACTTTTCAATAGTATCATGTCCATAACAGAGTCTCTTTCAAAAGAGATTAAAAGTAACTGGGAATGAGATTAAAGATTAATGTACACATTTTTATACTATTTGATATTCACACACACATATACATTTCAGTTTCAATTTTCTCTCTCTTTGTTTGGTGGAATCTTTTTTTTAAAGTAATTGGGACATCTTTGTGACAATTAAAAAGGAACATTAAAATTGTTTTAGTATAAGAATCCAATCTCTTTTTTACTTATACATATTATAAAATAATGAACTAGGAAGGCATGGCTTTTTAAGATTCAACTACAGCTAAATGGGCCTGCCTGAGTGCTCAGGCTCTAATATCTTTCTATGGCAAGGATCCTCTTTCTGTTTTGCAAGGCTAGAACCCAAGAAAGAAATTTTGCTTCTCCTTTGATCATGGCATCTTGAAACTTTCGGGAAGCCAGAAACATTGGACTTTAAACTCTGCTGGGGTGAGGCATGCAAGGTAAAGTTTCCTGCCACCAGGCGAGTTAAATGAGAAATTGTTTCCTGTAGTTGAAGGAAGCATAAAGAGATCTCCAGAAATATTGGCTAGCCAGGAAGGGTGGGGCTGCATTTGAAACTCATTTAAGGAGTTTGCCTAACACAATGATGGCGAACCTTTTGGGCAGTTGGAGGGAGCGTGTGTGCATATTGCATGCGCTCGTCAGGGCCACAACCCAGAAGAAGAGCTGCCCAGAAGGCATGCATGTGCTGGGAAATGAAATTCTGGTTTCCGCCATGCACATGTGCATTGGCCATCTGGTCTTCCAGTTTCTGGCATGCATGCACATGTGACGATCAGCTGGCCAGCATGCATGTGCATAATCGAAACCAGATGACCAGCTCTTCTGGTTTTCGGCACTGCCACACGCATAAAGGCCAGCTTACTGTCATGCACACATGTGCTCCAAAAATCCAGAAGATGAATGGGCGATGCCATGCAGGTCAGGCAACATGGCATGTGCCCCACTTGGCCACATGCGCCATAAGTTTGCCATCACGGGCCTAGCATATATGCTTCATTCCCCTTCTACTTTCTTCCATGAGAGGTCCCCATACACAAAAACGCTTCTATTTGTTTTAGGCTATTTTCCCTAAAGCTGTTTTGTTTTTAAATAGATGCTACACATTACATATAAATCTTGAATCTTTTCCAAGCACTCCCATATTTTATCTGGTCCTCCTTTTGTCAATACAGCTGCCCACGCAGAGGGAAGGGCCTATCATTAAAGGATATGATACTCACAGTCTCAATTGTTTATTATTGGTCTGAGAATTGTAGGCAATGAGCACATATTCCATTTGCAGAACCAATCTGGTGTAGTAATTAAAGGCACCAAGCTAGAAATTGGGAGATTGTGAATTGTAGTCCTATCTTAATTGTGCCCTAGAAAGAAAGTCATGGCAAACCACTAACCCTTAACCCATCAGTAGGAGCTGAGAAGCCCTATATAACTCAATTTAGTTGAGGAATTTATAATTGTCGCCTTCCTCTTTGGAACTAAAGAAGTCATTTCTAATTAAGATCCTGTCTCATCTTTTCTACCTAGGATTTTTTAAATATTTTGATAGGTCTCATTCTCTAAAGTTACATTTCCCATTTTTAAAAATTGGTCAAAATGGTTTGTTGCATAACGCAGTGCAAAACACAGCAGCAGGTAAAGCAAATATTCATATAGCTCACTTCAGACACAGATCGCAGAAGATCCTTGCCAAAAAAACCCACCCCCTCATCTCTATCATTTAGCAGAAAGCCACCTAAGGAAAAATAGCATCTATGTCCTTTCTTATCTTTGCCACTACATTGACTTTGTTAAACTTAATATTTTATGGATACTACTCTTAGTCTCCTTTTTTAAATATGCTTCATCAGGTTTGAATTTGCATATAGTAGT